AATCAGCCAGCTCTCTGTATTCCATTCTTCTCAGGAAGTGCAGAGTGATCTTCATAAACGCCTCTCTGCTTCTCCTCTGCTCTTCATTCTCATCCTCTCTCTGACTCTCTAAGCATTCTGGGTAATCTGGACCAAGGACTGCCTGGATCTTCTTCAACTCATTCTTTACAAAAGTGATAATTTTCTTCTCAAGCATCTGCAACAGAACAAAATGTAAACTTGAACTCAAAGAAATTAACACAAGATCATTTCTGACCTCAAACTCTGTACAGGTTGGAAATGTACAGTTTAATTTAATCAAACACTGAGTGTGAACATAACTCAGGCAGCGATATTTGCAGTGTTATTAGGACAGAATTCTGAGAAATTCCAACATACGTATAGATACGTACATATTTACATGTACATATATCAGAAGTAGCAGAATTTGTACATTTACACACCGTAAATATGGAGTCCATGTCTGCTTGACCAATAGGAACCCAAGATCTCTGCTGCTGAACACTGTGAGAACAAATCATTCAACCTCAATGATTTAATGCATGTTGCATTTGAAAGAAGACTGAGCAGGACAAATGATTTGGTGTTGCATGCGGCAATGATATGAGTCTCTTGGTAGCTGCTTGCTGGGCATGAGGATTTGTACATCAGGATTTTTTATGAGAGGGAAACAACATCCATAGGGCCCTGAAGGGGTTTTTCATGCCCGGGAGCCACGCCAGATCCTATTATGAACTTCCCCAAACTGACAGCAGCAAGAACTTCAATGTCAAATTCAGAATCGTTTTTTGAATATAATCAATAAATGTGTGTTCCTTTCAAGTGGGACTGTGTTGTGGCCAGGGATCTATCAATACGTGTAGCCTATTCTATATTATTAATATGTTTTGAGACAATGCTTATTATGTCTTTGCCATACAGTCATTTTTCTCAATGATGGGAAGTTAGGTTAAAGTGTTACTGCAGTTGGCCACAAGGTGGCGAGAGCTGTTCGTGGCAACAATAAATTATAAAGCTATGTTTGGAGTAGGAATATGGAGCATGTCACTACTTAGCTGAGTATTTTCGGTGAAAAAAATAACGATTTTTGAAAAGAGATAGAGAACAAAGTTGCTCTTTGCACAAATGGACAAAACACGAATGACACATGAAACTGTTGTGAACTGCTGTGGTATCCAAAACAAACAGAATGTAAACTCTGAAAAATGATCAAACTCACAGACAACACTCTTTTCACAGTTTGGGTGAATCTGGAGAGTTTGAAATAAAACAAACTTAGTTTAGTTTTAAGTTTAATTTTTGAAAGTCTTACTTTTGATGATCAGAAGTCTCTCCAGCGTTGAGATCGACATGCTTGTCCATGGACCAGCTGCTCTTTACGGACGTACAGCTGAATTCAGGAAGCGGTGAGTCTGGTCCCTCTTGTTTAACACTGACAGAAACAAAAACTGATTGATAAAACATAAGCGCTGAAACTTTCTACAACACATGTAGTTTATTTTATAAAGATTTGTGATAAGAGATAGAGAACAAAGTTACTCTTTGCACAAATGGACAAAACACGAATGACACATGAAACTGTTGTGAACTGCTGTGGTATGATCCAAACCAAACAAAACGTAAACTCTGAAAAATGATCAAACTCACAGACAACACTCTTTTCACAGTTTGGGTGAATCTGGAGAGTTTGAAATAAAACAAACTTAATTTAATTTTAAGTTTAATTTTTGAAAGTCTTACTTTTGATGATCAGAAGTCTCTCCAGCGTTGAGATCGACATGTTTGTCCATAGACCAGCTGCTCTTTACGGACGCACAGCTGAATTCAGGTCGCGGTGAGTCTGGTCCCTCTTGTTTAACACTGACAGAAACAAAAACTGATTAACATGAGCACTGAAACTTTCTACAACACATGTAGTTTATTTTTGATTGAAACTATTGACTATATATAGAATGGACGTCGTCTGCCTCCTCACTGGGTGAGGCCTCCAGAGAACAGCACCCCCTAGTGACTGGTAGCAGTATAGGTCATAAACCCCGCCTCCTCGAGCAAAATTTTAACTTTTTGGCGTTAAATTTGTACAATAAAAGGAGGCGGAGTCAAGTTTTCCATACTATATGCAGTCTATGATAAGGTGACCAGACGTCCCCGATTTCCGGGGACAGTCCCAGAATTGGATGACCTGTCCCCGGCAAAAGCTGTCTCCGAAAATGTCCCAGATTTAAGCGTTTCATGAATGAGAACAAAAATGTTGCGAGTAGGCTAGAAGAACACTTATTAAAGTAGCCGAATGGGTAGGAAGCACAAGTAAGCAGTCCTGAACAACAGTTCTTACGGGGGTTATTTCAAGGGGCGCGGCTGCTACTAAATGGTACCGAGATGTTGTCTGCCCCTAATGCCCCTTGATTTCACTACAGAAATCTGGTCACCTTAGTCTATGATCAAAACTTAATGTTAATGTAAAAAATCAATACTGATATAAATTATTACTTGAGGAAATAAGGCTGATGTCCTTCCTTATCGTGAATAGAACGTTTCTGAGACCCAGCCCTCAATGACATACAGCTGAGTTCAGGCCCAGGAGAGTCCGGTCCCTCCTGCTGAACACTGACAGAAACAAACACCGATGAACAAACAAACAAACACTGAAAATCTTCTAGGCATTAAAAAATATAAACATTTTTGTGCTGACACTTTCAAAAGAACTGAATCTTTTTAAGCTGAACGAGTAGAAATGATTACTTTTGATAATCCGACTGATATCCGTCCTCGGTGTTGGTAAAATGATCTGCAGACCAGTCACTCTTCATGGCCACAGAGCTTGAAGCAGGTTCATTTCTAGTTTCTGGTCCAGCATAGTCTGATCTGTGCAGGTTTTCTGGGCTTCAACATTAACATAAAGTAAATGTCAACCATTTGCAGTAAATTTTCCCTTAAATTATTACTCTGAGAAGAGGAAAATGTCGTTCAGAGGGACAGATTTTTCCTCTTGTGATCTCTGAACTCTTTGAGGACAGTTTGTTGTTCACTTTTTAAATTCTCACGTTAGATCAGATGATTTTTGTCCGTCTTGAAATCCAGGAGATTCAAACAATGACCGTAGTTTCTTCACAGAAGACAGGGTTGGGCCCAGTCTTGGTTCAGCATCGTCTTGACTGTGTTGCTGCTCAGGGCTTTCACATACAGACATAGACAGACAGCTTTTAGGTTTGTTTAATGATAGTATAGAGCTTCGCTGTGACATGGAGAAGAATCAGTAACAGTGCAAGATCTTCGTCTAACCTCTGAGCTTTGATCAGGCTGTCATGTTCCCCATAAGGCGTGGTTTGAGAGGTATGGGCCCCTGCTTCTCTGTCCTCACACTGATCCATAGCAGAGCCCCCAGCTTCACATAAACACATGTTCATTTGTTCATTACAACCTCAGCCACATGCTGCTCTCACCCACAGTGTCAATCTAGATATTACCTAGATTACCCCAAATCATATCCCTTTTAAAATGCTTGACCTTCTTTTTTAACTATGGGGCTCATTTGAATCCATTTATAGTTAAACTGTTTTAATTCTTGGGGCATGTATTACTTCCTGTTTGGTGTGTAGCAGCATACTCACCAGATGAATTCAGATCCACTTTCACCTGTTGAGGAAACACAAATAATGGAGACTCTGATGCTGATCTTCCCTCTTCAGTCCTTCATCATTAATTTAAGGGAAATGTCACTCACTCGTCACTGAACAGTCAAAGTCTGGAGATATTATCAGAACATTAAGTCAGTGTGACCTGCAACAAGAAACCAGCTCAAATCACACATCAGAGACCTGCAAAGACTTTCTGTCAGGATGTGAGAAACCTCTGAGAAATGATGAGAATGAATGTTTAATAATCCTTTCTTTTAGACATCTAGTTTTTTTAGACCTAATTTCAACCGTCTAGATTATATATTTTTTAATGGAATTTAGACGTTGCACTTTAACCCATTATTCGATAACTATTTATTTCAAAAAGCAACTGTGAGTTGCAAAACTGATCTTCATGTACTAAACCAAAATAATTATGGATAGTCATTGAGCAATATACAGTGTAGTATAAATATAGCCCAGATTTAGACTTGGTCTAAACTTAGTCTAAATTTAGATGTCCTAAAAACGTTCATTTTTAGACCTGTGGTAGCCTGATTTTAGACCAGTCGTCGAGGCTACATTTAGACGTCTATTAGACCTCTTTTAGACCAAAAAATGCTCAGTGGGAAGCTTGAAATGAATTACTAATCAAAACGTCATATGAAGATATTCTGTTTTTGTCAACAAGGCGATTTCAAGTAACGAGATTTTATATTTGATGCAGGAGATAACTGTAAGCCAGTGAACAGAGATAAACAGTTGATCGACGTGCTGTGTTTGAGTTGGTAAAATACCAGATAGTGCGGCCAGTAAGGAGTTGCAGTAATCCATGCAAGACATTAAAAGAGCCTGTACCAGGGGCTGTATTGTGTGATTTGTCAGGTAGGGTCTGATCCTCCTGATGTTGAAGAGAGCGAATCAGATAAACAAAGCAATCATGGCAACATGTACCTTAAAGGTTAGTTGGCCATCAATAATGACAATCATGGGTATTATCTGAACAGCAGTGATATGAGAAACCATGAGATCTAGATGTTGCACTGAGCGACATACCAGGGGACCAAGCCTCGACCCTTGAGAAACTCCAGTTGATAGACCATGCAGTTTGGACACTTCTCCTCTTTATGGTACTCAAAAGGTCTCCCACTGAGGAGAGGAGGATTCAGTGGTTCACTATATCAAAGGCAGAGTGAATAGCAGCCCTTTCAAAATGCAGCAATCCTGTTTCTGACAGAAAAGCTGTGGAGTGGCCCCGACAAAAAACAGGCTGATTTGGATCAAACAGGTTTTTGTGCATGAACTCAAAAGTCTAATCAAACACTGTGCACTTCAGAATATTTGATGGGAAAGGCAGAAGTGAAACTGGCCTGCAACTATCAAACTATTTAGGCTGAGAGTGGATTTTTCTTTTTATTTAACCACCACTGGGAGATCCATTTTACACCAATTCCAGTTAATCACTAACCATAACCAAACTGACTCTGTCGTACCCTGGACATCATTGGATTTATCTCACCAGTTGTTACATGAGGGGGCCAAATGATTGACCTTCAACACTATTGTAAAACTCATAAAACAATAAAACTTCATGGCACACACAGCTTTTGATCACAGATATAGAAACAACGAATCAAATTGTTCTTAAATAATTCAAATACAGTCTTGTTAAAGGCTGGATTAGAGCTGAGTTACATTGCACTGAACTGTCACCATTTAACACTCGGTTTTAGTAACTCTGAGTAAGCATTTGGGGAGTTTGATATGCTTGACTTTTCATACTCATTGAACTTAATAAACAACTGAAAGACAGTTTAGGTTTCACATGGATTAAGCATAGCATGACTGGATCATTTAGCAGTACATTTTAATGAACCATATAAAAGTAACAGGTGACCTTTCACTTTTTTTTGCGACTTGATTTACAGAGTAACATCAAAATACAGCAGTCCTGTACGCCCAATGTAGACACTTCTTTGCTTTCACATAAATATATCTGTACATATGTAAAAAGATAATATTAATCTGTTCCATTAATCCGGTCCCAAAGAAATTCAGCAAAACCATCATTACTGCTATCAAATCAGTTTAACACAAACATGATGTGAAGTGTGTTTCATTACCTTCTAATGGTGAAAATCTGCATGAAACCGATGAGTGACGGTGAAATAAGTCAGCAGTTATGAACAGTAAACCAACATGAGAGAGAAAAATACACAACTGGTGGTAAGAGGTTTTCAAATGACAGATGATTCACATTAAGTCCAAAGTCTCTGTGTTTATCTTCACACTGAAGTGATGCTGAAGGAAATTTGATCTCAGAGCAGCTCTGAACTTTGGAATAAACCCTCAGAGTAACTGCAGCCAAATGGTTAAAAGCAATATAAAATCTTATGAGATGGGTTGTAAAGATCTCATGATGAAGTTTTACACTTATTGACAAGAAAATACTATATACAGTGTTGTTTTTAAAAAGGAAAAAATATTCTCCTGTTTGTGTTCTTTAGTGTAATGCACAGATGTTTGTTTTCATGCTGTGTGTATATACAATGTGTGGTCTGCCAACAGTAAGTGTCATAGTTTATATATACCTGTCTGTAGTCTCAGTGGTGTCACCCGTTGGTTTCTGCAGAGGTGTTTAAAAGCCCAAAGACGAAGGTCCACAAACTGGTCCTGCTGCCCTAGACACAGGTGAAGAGGAAGATCCAAGGCCACAGACTGGCCAACCTTTCAATACCACTATGTATACACACACAGACTAACACACACAGTTGATCCTGTACAGACAGTTTTAATGGAAACAGAACAGTTGTCCTCTGAGTTCACAGACTTATATTTGTACAAACGCACACATAAAGCCACAGTGACACAGTAAGTGTTTCTGCTCACACCAGCAGCAGGTACAGGACGTTTACAGTGAATGACTAATGACTGAGGAACATGATGAGCGTGGTGGTGGACCAGAGTCACAGGTTCAAGTCCCAAAATCTGCCAGTGTGCCACTGAGCAAATCAAACAAACCAACTCGTTCTCAACCCAACAGTTAATTCAAAGTGACTGATGTGTATGGAAACCCAATTCATTACAGAATAAATAATCTGATGTGGACATGAACTTTACATAAATATGACCTACTACAAGGCACAAGAAAAGAAATACATCCGTTCATTTACAAGCAGCTATTCTAGATTTATAATCAGTAATGTCAGTTAGTTTACTGAGGGTTAAAAGTTTGCTCAGTTTGTGCAACGAAAGATATGAAACCGTCCATTTGGTGAATGTTGGAAACTCTTTACTTTCTTATTTAATCAGTGATTTTCTTGCTATCTAAATGTATAAAAAATGTTTTGGTCAGGCTGATTAGTTCTTTTTGATGTTATTGGAACAGTTCGAATTTTTAACTTAAACTATAAAGAAACGATCATGTTTAGGAACTTCATCTTGCTAGCTGACAAGCAAAGAACCAGATCATCATGTCTTAGGAAAATCTGAAGTGACTGTGAGCAGCTGGAGTTCACATCTCTGAGTTTATTCAATTGTGCATGTAGATTATTTACGCATTATTATGTAGTAATTGAATGATGTTATCATTTATGGTAATGAATGTGCAAAACTAATGTGAGACCTGCTTAACTGTTGTAACTACAGATGTTCTTATATCATTTCAACTCTGACAACAAAACATTTAGTTAAGTTTATTGACTTGCTACTAGCAGACTTAAATAATAAAAGATACCACTATTACATAGTTAAGCATATTTTTGATGTTTTAACATGTTTTGCTATTTAAACTTGTGACCTGTGAGCTTCTACAAATCTAGGCTTGCATGTCCTGGTTTCTTTTCTGTCACTGTAGGATAAATATAATCAATTTGAAATATTAAACACGGGAGAAGAAGGAGAGACAGAAGTTTTTAAGAAATTATATGCAATAAAGGGACATTTTTCCTCAGTCACATTTAGTGGTTAGTCCTCTCGTAGCAGTAATGCACATGGATGAGATTTAATCTATACACTAAAAGACGAAGATATTTGCTGTGGTTCTGATGTGAAGCTTTTAAAGCTGCAGACAAGACGACTGTAAAACCTGACTGACGTTAGTGTCGTGGTTGTTTAAAATCTTTTCAAGACCAGCTGAGGAGGGAAAAACTCCAAACATATTATCATATCCTGTACAAAAAGGTGCTTTACACAAAATTCAGATAAATATCATGTGAGGACATTATAAAGACATTTACAAGTTTTAGATATGTATTTACAAAACACCGGAGCGGAAACTGGGGGAAGACTTTGTTTAAGTTGTTTTTGGTTCATTTCATAAAGAGCCATTATAACCACAAAATATAAACTTTTTTCTTAACGCTCAAAATAATTTATCAATTTAGCATTTAAAAATGTTTAATTTTAACTTTGGATGGCAAACTGAGAGTTTTCTAAATAAGAGTATTTTGAAAAAAAATCTAATCTGTTTGTGGAAGAGTTTCAATAAAAACCTTCCAGAGTCAGTCGAAGTAAAGCAGAAGCCACAGCCACAGAACAGTCAGATATTTGAGGCTGTTTGCTGACTACTTCAAGAGTTCAAACATGACGTCCACTCAAACTGCTCCGTCTGTGCTTTTTCCTTTGACAGTGTCTCAGAGATTTATTTTGAAGTTCTTTGGTTGCGTTCACTCAGCTCAGACTCTGAAACTTTTCTCTCAGGTTCTTCACGATGCTCTGCTGACCGGCCTCCGTCTTCACTTCACAGTTTGAGCTTGTTTTCGCGGACTCATCATCCTGATCATTCAAAGGGGTTGCGGTGGTGTCCGTCTCATGAGGCCTTGCAGGATCAGCTTTGGTTTTCATTCCCTCCCTTTGTTGATATTCGTCAGACTCCTGATAGGCCCGGCAGCGGTCGATAACAGCCATGATGGAGATCTTCTCCCTGCTGGTTGGTGAACGGATCTGGATGTAGCTGTCGTCCTCTTCCTCTTTGGATTCTTTGACCGCCTCTGCAGGTTCTGACACGGGCTGTGGAAGCTTCTGCATAATGATGATCTTGTGTTCAGGATCACTTGGAAGATTAGCCTCAGCTGCAATATAGTATCCGTTGTTGTCATTGTCATCAGCCTGATCCTGTAGCTTCTGCAGCTCAGTCATTTGTTCTCCACACAGCCGAGGGTCCAGAGAGTTGGCTCTGAGAAGCCGACTGTTGCGTTCCTCTGCGCCATCATCCCAGCTACCACGAGGTTTGTCGAAAGACGTTTCACCAGAGGCGTCATCCGAACGAGGGAGGCTGGAATGGTAACTGGAGTGCCTCCTCAGACTACTGTCAGACATCTGCTCAGGGATAGAGCGACTCCGACTGATCGAACTATTCTGAGGGTGACTCTGATTGGAGTATTTGGAGCGGAGTTCGCTGACATCAGGCCAGTTGAAGCCCTCGGTGGGAGTAGAGGGACTGAGGGGGCTGTGGGTCCGAGTCCATCCTGGGGAGACGCCCTTTGAGCTGCTGCCCAATGAACTAGAGGTGGGGACAGAGGTGGGTTGGTGGTCCTGGTCTACAGGGTTCATTGGCAGGGAGACTGACTGGTTTTGTGAAACCAGAGGCAGAGTCAGGTTGGGTTTACCTGAAAAACACAAAGCAAGTCATAAATACAACTAAACCTCAGTTCTGTTTAAGTTTCATCTCAATAGCTGAACAGTTCAGTATGAACAATATTGAGTCAAACTGAAAGAAGTGATCGACAGAACTACCAAACTCATTTTTAGGTGGACAGCTGCTACATTTCTGATTTTGAATATGGATATAAGATGGAGAAAGTAGAGCCAAACCTGTGCTCTCCTTCTCCTCCACCACACAGGGTAAGGTCCTCTTACTGATCAGGAGGCTTTGTCGGACCTCTGGGTTGGGGGTTTTGATTCGCTGGCTGTACTGTCGAGCCAGATGAAGAACTTTGCTCTTTGTTTTGTCAGCATCCTCCAGCTGGTTTGAATCTTTGCTGCGTCTTTCCCCCTCCAGCTCTGCCCTTAGCTGAGCGACACGAGGAACCGGAGCCTTGAAGAGGGCCGCCTCTTCCCTGAATGTCTTCGAGGTGTCTGCGAGATGTCCTGTCTGATTTACATCTGAGGCTTTGTGCTTGAGAGGTACAGGAATCACGGATTCCTCTGTGATGGTGCCAAGATCTCGATCACAGATTTTGTTCGGGGTCTTTCCCATCTCAGAGAAGTTGTCACCAGGCGCTCTGAGGTTTCTTAAAGCTTTACGGGATCGCTCTAGTCCTCTGTCTGTGCTTTGGGATCTGTCACTTTCTTTCTCCATTGTCTGCCAGATCTTGATCATTTCAGATGAAGGTCTAAACTCCTCTTCCCTCAAAGGATTGTCCTGCACACCTTGAGATCTGGACCCTTGTTTTCCCCCTGAATCCTCTGGATCTTTTTGTGTCTGATCAGACTTAGAATGATCCACAGAGTCATTGGTGGACACTTGAGACTGAGTCTCAGTGGGTAACGCTGAGCTTGACTCTGCTGTGGTTGAGGTCGAGGGATCTGGTTGGACAGGATCATCCTTCTGTGAGCTGTTGAACCGACTGACAGAGCTCCTCACCAGCCCAGTTGGGATGTAGGTCAGGCTCTCTCTGCGCTGGAGGCTGAAAGTGGCATCCCTGCTCTCAGCGTTCTCATAGTAGCTCTTGATTTTCCCGATGAGCAGCTGGTCCTGTTTAGACAGGGTGGAGTCCCGCCTTCGCCGGATACCTCTGTCAGTTTCAAAGAGACTGTCGTCCCGAGGAGACAGCAGGGTCAGGTCTGTCACACCAAAGGTCTCTGGAGGATCAGAGGAGGCACTGTTGGGCCTTCGGTCAGAGGAGTCAGGGCAGAGGCTGATGCTGCTGCTGTTTCGGCTGAGCAGACGAGGCGTAGCACAGCCGAGGGAGCGAGCGTCGTCCTGGCTGCCTCGTCTTATACTGTTATTGAAGTGTTGAGCGATGACACTGGCTTTATCCAGGACAGAGGAAGGGAGGATCCTGCTGGTTTTACCCTCCTTTTCTGTCGCTCCCTTCTCATCCTCCTCGTCCTCTGAGGACTCTGCACTGCTCAGCGTTTTGGCATCCGAATCGGGAGTGGCAGATAACCGTTCCTCTATGTGCTCTGGATCTCTTTCAGGGTTCAGCTCTGACCTTTGAGGAGACACCGAGGTCTTGGCTGTTGTAGTGGACAAACTTTGTGAAACAGAAGATGGTTCTGGTTTGGGTTTTTCCTCCAGTTTGGATTCTGAAGTCTTCTTCTGTGGTGTTTTATCTGCTGAGATCTAGAAAATATGAGATGAAAAAAAAAAAACAGATCATTAGAGCTGAATTATTTGTGATGTTGATGAGCTTCAACCCCCTTCAGCACTCAAACCTCCAGTTTTCAGGGACATGAGGACCCTGAGATATAAATACGAAGACTAACAAATCAAGAATCTGTCAGAACAGGGGCAGACATCAGTGACAGGAGACAAAAGACTGATACTCTCTCAGGGTAATGTGAACATGCTCTTGTTTTACTGAAGTGTTCAACAGATTTATTTGATGACCTACCTGCTCACGTGTTGCTTTGGCTCCACCCACCTCCTCCTCTTCAGACACTCGGACATTTTCTTTGTTGCTAATGTCTGCAGAGACTTTGCCTCCCCCGGCCTCCTGCAGCAGAGACCAAACATTAGAAGAAACCCTGTACAAAACTGTTCAGCTGTATCGTCCACTGAAAGCCCATAAAACATCACATCACTGCACTGTGCTTCCTCTCCACTGTGTCTCTGAGGGTGAGTCCATCTAAATCCACAAATACCCCGTTCCTCAGCTTCTATTCTGCAGACTGAAAAATAACAAGAGATTTTTCTACAGGCCAGTTTGGATGTTTTGAGCTGCACACATCTCTCTGACTGAGAGGGAGGACAGGTCTCTTTAAAATCTATGAACTTAGCTGAAATGACATTTATACTTTGAATGAAACAGGGGTTGCTTCTGATGGACTGACCCTATATTTCAGACACAATAGAGAGTAATAACCATAAGTGAGAACACCAGTCCTGTTCAGCAGTTGCAAAAAGTGATCACTTTCTGACATGCAAATGAAAGAAAATCAGCAACCAAATACCAAGAGGCAGAAAACTACCACACCCCATCTGAGGAGAATCACAGCTAAGAGATCAACAGGCTGTAGAAGCTCCCAAAGCTGCATGAAGGAAAAACTTTCACAAAAAGGGCCATAACAGGATACAGATTCAGTTTCCGAATCAATATTTTATTTAAGCTTTTTATTGGTGATAATCAAACTTCTCATTAATTTTCTCTTCATTTTCATTTTCTAATGATAAAAAAAATTGACACAGCTTGTGGGTGTTACTTTTTACACAGCCTTGTACCCAAAAGTCAAGTTCTTTAAGAAAACTTCTGCACCAAGTTACCTCTCCATTTAGTCCAATAGCAAAAGTTAGCTATTAATACATTAGCTGCTGTTACAGTGTTAACTTGCAGTTGCAGTTTGTAACTTGCAGTTTGTCTTTGTAGATGAAACAGTTTTAGGTTTCTGTAACAGACTCATTGAGACTCAAATCCAGCTCATACTGGCCTTTGTTTACAAAGCAGTCATCAGTGAAGTAGTGAGCATAGACAGGGATGTTGCCTGATATCAGGATGTGGTCATGTCTTGAGAAAAGAGAGAAGCTAGCAGACAGACCTGAGGATTACGAAACTTTGATTTCTATCAACATTTTACAAGTGTAACAACTTTTTCTGTAGAATAACTGGAATCAAATCCACACATTACTTCTATACTGCAGAGAAACACGGTGGTAGCAAACTTTGGGAGGACAAACTTCGATGGTATCAGATCATCAAAGTACAAATTAAACTCCTTGCAGAGCGTATCAGGGTTGACTCTGCTTTTATGAGTGTTGGTGGACTGTAGACCTGTGTGATAATCCCATAGACTGTATAATCTATGGACAACTTGGTTCTGCCTTCCACCAGTATACGGATTTGAAGCTGAAAAGCTCTCGGTATTTCCGCGATTTTTCTCCATTTCCTGAAACCAACATTGCACAGTAGTGTTGTGCACATTTAGTGGGAGAGTTGCCGAGAGTCACTGAGATGACGCTCTGCTCAAACAGCGTATCCCACAGGTGAGCTACGCAATCTTTGTATGCCCATAGGCTGTATCAAATGTCAATCATAGAGAACATGAACCCCCTAATAACTTCTAAAAATGGAGCTGTACAGAAAAAAGAGGACTTGAGCACAAACTAGTCTTACTGTAACTACATGTCAACATTGAAGGCAGGAGGGAGAAAAATGTATAATCTGTGTAATAAAATGAGTTTGTCCACAGCTCCATAAGCTTTGCTGTTGTAGGCGGGATTTATGACCTATACTGCAGCCTGTCACCAGGGGGTGCTGTTCTCGGAGTGGCTTCACCCAGTGAGGAGGCAGACACTGTCCATTCTATATACAGCCTATGTGAAAAACCTCAAATAACAGATTTGTTGACATCAGGAAACAAACAGCAGGTCCAAGATACATCCTCATAGTTTTGATAGACGGGAACAACAGTAACTTAAGACTGATGTCAGGAAAACCACCAACAATTCACCCTTCAGTCACTAATACCAGACAAGACAAGTGACCCCCCATGCAGCAGAGCAGGGTTAGTTCACTCATGAAGTGAATGCAGCTGAAGACTTAAAGCAGGAAGTTATCCCTGAGCGAGGGGAGGGGACAGTGAGGGGCTTATGTATTTGTTATGGTGCTGAAGTGGGTCAGGTGAAGGTCAGGTGGCGGCCATGTTGAATGGAACATGAAGAAGCAGCCCAGACCGGCAGCAGAAAGCCTCACCGTCACCATGGTAACCTGTGCCCTGAACGGCCAGTAGGACAGTGCCGCCAGCACAGAGCCAGTGAAGTCGTCTACCTGATCGTCCTCTAACAGGTCGTCCAGCTCGCTGTCCTCTGTCAGATGAGACTGATGAGGAGACGAGCGCCCCCCCTCCTCTTCCTCCCCCTCACTGCAGATTAGCTGTTCTGCTGAGTCCTTCCTGCTGCTGCTGCGCTCCTCCTCTTCCCCTTTCTCCTCAGGGGCTGGACTAGGAGGCTGCAGGGGGTCCCCCTCCCCTGGTGATCCACCCTCACTGTCTTCATGCTGCAGGATGTCACACACCCCCTTATGTTTCTTGTTTTTTTTCTCTCTTTTTTGTCTCTTAACACTAAAACAAGAGAAGGACCACCTGCTCCCTGGCCCCCAAGGGCCCCAAACCAACATTCTCTCTCCAGCAATGAGTTCATCATTATAACATATGAACAATAATATGGGATTAATGCAACAGATCAATCACAGCTCCACCTCAGAGTCTGTCCTTGTGATTTAGGGAAGATCTCTGAGTGAAAAGGAGAAGAACCTGTTGGATGCTAACATGCAAGTCAGTCATTACTTTGATGCTGAATAGATTTCATTGACAAGATGATGAAGAAGGGGGCGAGGGGAGGTGCAGGAGTTGAAGGAGGAAAAGGAGGAAGAAGCTGGTTTCTTACCTTGATGGCAGCCGTGATATCTGGAGAGACAGCAGCAGAGAAAGGAGAAAAGAACAGAAGGTGATTGGTTAAACAGTCAGCAGTTCATTCTAATCTGACATGAAAATGACCTTTGACCCTTGGCCACATAGCTGGAATCATGACAGGGTTGTGTTTGGTCCTTTTTGTTTATTATTCGGAATACAATATGAAATTAAACTCATCTTTCAATCTGAACATACCGTGGTGCGTTCAAGGACCCCTCTAAATGCATATATTTATGAACCACAAAATGACCTCTGATGTGCTGACAGTCATCTCAACATGTTGGACCCATAAAGAAAAGAAAAGCCTGATCCCAAACCGTCCCCTCGACACTCCCCCTCTGTTAGCCCGTCCCTGCGGAGGCTCCGCCATTTTAAAGGCCGTCCCAAACCACAGAGTGAGGAGGGCGAGTGGACCAATCAGCCCTCAAATAGCGAGCCTGCACCGGTGCACACTTACGGCGGGATTTGCAGGTAGTGCGCCGGCAAAAATGGAGGAGGAGGAAACAACATACAAATACAAGTTCTGTATGTGTCCGCCTTTGTCTCACTGATAAAAAAAAATACCCCAAAAGATGTGGTTTGGAAAGATCAAATAAAACTTGAAAATCTTACTTTGTGCTGAGGTTTGATTTGATTGTGCAGGCACATGTCAAATAGTGAAGGGGTTCAAAGACGTGTGGAATCACTAACAATCAGAAGTATAATTTAGCTCCTGTCACTGTGATGGTTGTTGGATTTATGATTTCAGTGGGACAATGAAAAAACGAGGCAGCCGCTGCAGCTCAGAACTGCACATGATGCCCTTTAGAAAGAAACACTGCCATGTAAAGGACGCATCCCATAGCTGTCCATCTTGTTTATACCCTCCGATTTCAATTGAAGCGCACTCCACAGCTGCAAGTATAACTTCATTATGAGTGGCATTCGGTAGTGAAGGGTGAGTGTGTAGGGGGCGGTTTGGGATTGGGCCTAAGAGTTTAAAACAGTCCACAGCGGCCAAAAGAACTGATAGGCAGTGAACACAACATGATACATAAACATGACGTGGTGTATATTTACCTCTGCTGCTCTTCACCGTCGGTTTGTTTGGGTCTGAGGAGGAGAGACAACAGTCAGCTGATTCATAAAGCAGGACAACGAACTGAAACAAGAAATAGACATCTACGTGTGTGTTTACCAGACTGTCGTCTTCCTTGACGGCCATCTTGTGGGAAATCATCAGACTGACAGGACGAAGCTTTTTTCAGCCGCTCAGGACTGTAACGATACCGCGGAGGGTCTACGGGAGAATAATGAAGACATGATAATCAACACCATGATAAATAAGACTGACATGGAAAAAAACAGAAAATATGTGACTTAAGAAATTGAGTTATGAGTAACATGGATAATGTCTTGAGTTGATGTCTGAATTTCTGACTCTTGCACTGATACTGTTAATGGACTGTATCAGCTCTGATTTATCTTTGAATGTTTTTGAAATGTTTACTCACAAGTTGGATTCATTTCCAAGATGGCGTCCTTAGCCTGAAGCAAACAAAGAAAATAACAAACATTGATTACCCAAATACTGGAGGAGAGACTGATAGTGCTGATGTGTGTAGTGCTGTGTTGTGTGTGACCTTCTGAGGGATAACGGCATGGTGGTTTTCCAAAATGGCGCGTTTGATGTGATGGGCCCACAGCTTCTTTTCCTCCACTGTCCTTGCCTGAAAAAATTGGATTAGCTTATAAACTTATATTTCAGTTTTTCAGAGTCCTGGGCACCACAAGACCAGTATTTAGTATAAACAAAAGCAGGGTGTGTGGAGTGAAGGAGGAGTAGGTGGAGAAGATCTTACCTGGACAGTGTGAGGCTGTTTGGGATGTTTGTAATGAGTCACACTGAAGCTGAGGGAGTCTTTGGCGCTTTCAATCAGCATCAGAGTGGAGCACTGACACACAAACACAGACAGACAATCACATTAATAACGTTAGTTAACGGACAAACAAAAATACACAGGTGATGTACAGGTGATTCCTGGTCACCTCTCTGACAGAAAGCCCAGGAGATGGGTTGGTCAAAGGCAAAACTTGGATCTATGTTTGAGCCCTTGCCTATGTTCATGAGCTTTGGGACTGAGAGAACGAGTTGGATGAGATCCAGGGTACGAGTGTCGTTAATAAGTTATCTTGATAAGCTGTCTAGCCTTAGTGATTGGAGGATTAGGATCCTCCTTTGGATCTAACCTTGGGAAACCCTCAAGAAAAGCTCAAAAATAGTGTTAGGGAAGACGGCTGACCTTCTCTGTCTGCCGCCACCACAAACCAACCCCAGATAAGCTGATGAAAACAAAACAAATAGATGGACTGCTCTAATAGGAAACAGTTTCCTACAAACAGAATCTAAAGCTGCTATCTAGCATGTACAGCTGTGCGAGTTATTTTCTCACAGAAATATGCGTCTTGTAGACAAAGTGCTCTCCACGTCGTTTGGTGATCAGCAGCATGCGGTCGAACAGAAAGAGCGTCCTCTCGTTTTTCGCTCTGTGGACTTTGAAGGTTCCCTCCAGGACCAGTTCTCCATATGTGGTGAGGTCATGACCTTTCCAGTTCAGCAACAAAGACTGAACCTCCTGCAGAAAGAAGACAACGCAAGCTTTCAGAGAGAAGGAGGGTTTGATAAGAGGTGTTATTTATGCTGTTAGTGGGGCTGACTGATCAGGATACTGAGATGGACTAAACTGGTTTAGAAAAGTGTTTGTTCTAGATCTATGATGACTAAGGTTTGCAGACCTGGATTTCATCTGTAACAGAGGAAATCATAAAGACACAAAAACCATGTCCCCCTCTAACTGTACTCATAAAAGGATTTCAAAGATAAGCAGGTTCAGTCGGTTTGAATCTGTGGGTGTGTGGTCATATGACCTACCTGCAGCCTGACAGCATGTTCGTGTTTCCTTTTCATGTCATTGATGTACCAGGCGACTCCCGTCATGGTGTAGATGGCCTCCTCCACCACCTCGTAACCCTCCTCTAACGGGTCAAAGTGTTTGGCTATCTCCTACAAGAAAACATCATTTCCATCATTAAAATCATGATCATCATCATCTTTTCTATGACAGGCAGCATCCTCCTCATCAACACAGTAACCTTAACATTATCATCATCATCTTAATCATCAGAACCATCCTTATTATTATTGTGTAGTACAGTCACCCTTATCATTGATGCTCTCTGGTTGGTGTGTTCGTACAGATATGAAGGAGGAGGTCAGTGATGTCCTCCAGGTGTAGGGGTCATACCTGGAGCAGCAGGTGGTATTTGAGGATCCTCTGAACAGGTTTGAGCAGGTATGATCCCAGGGGCAGCGAACGCTTCAGGGACGCTTGACGCTCTCGGAAAAACTTTGCCAGAGATTTACTCCTCATGCACTCTGTCAGCGCCGCCACTGAACTGAAACAAGAGCCGAAACAGGTAAAATCAAAGGAGGGAAATTTATCGCAGTGACTGTTATACTTGTACTCTGTGTAAGTACTTACTTTGGGTAGTTGGTGCAGTATTGTGTGTAGATCTCAAAGTACTCGCTCTGAAATGAGACAAAGTCGATAAAAAACAGTAAAACTTCATATTTACACTGCTCACACAAACTGAATTACAAGATATATAATTCCTGGATTGTGGATTGTGCATTATATTTTTACTGTCTTCTAGTTTGTCTCAGCAGTAAAAAAACAGAAAGTTTATCTAATACGAAAAATAAAAAAAGTGTCTGTCAACACACTAACATACATCCTAAAAGAGATTTATTTCTCACTGTGGTAAACAAATGCATTGAAGTGGTGACTCATATATACAGAAACTTAATCACTTTTTCAATATTAACTCCTACGATTTTGCTTTTGTCAGTAAAAGCTCTCAGATTAGAGGTGAATTTCCCTCAGAGGAAAATAAATCATATCACATAAAAACGACATTAAGGTAAAGACTTAATAATGATGTTTGCCACCATTTTTGCAAAACAAGAACCCACAATTAATGTTTGTTTTCCAGCAGACAGACTATCTGCTTCAATCAAAAAAGAAAAAGAACTTCATAAATGTGAAAAAAAACTCCTCACAGGAGCTTTTATGTCATTTCAAAGACTTTTCTCTAATTTCTTTTAATTTGCATGAAAATTAAAAGTTTCTTACCTTCATGACAAAGCAGCGAGCAACAGCCACTGGGTCGTTGTCACACATGTCGAGAGCCTGAAGCAGCTCGCTGTCAAAAGAAAACAACAATCACACCTGTGAGTTTGAATTGTTTTTTATTTATCAAATTTTCTTAATCTTTAAATTTTTTACATGATTCACCTGTAAAGAAACTTTGTCCACATTCATGTGAAAATACATTTTCAAAACTTTGAAAGAAGTTCAGAAAAATCTAAACCTGAGTCACCACACAGCTTTCATGTCCTCAACGAACGGCAACACAAACTCACCTGTCCAGCAGGGGGAGCCGTCGAAATCAGTTTGTCATAAGAAGAAGTTTAAATAAAGTTTACAAGCTTAAAATAACTTTTTCTTCCTCTCATTTAAACTTCTCTAACATGACAGAAACAGACCAATAATCCTGCTGCCTTACTCAAACTCACACTGAAACACTGTGTGTGTTTGTTTGTGTGTGTGTGTGTAGATTTCAGTTCAAATCTGAGTCATGCAAGTCAGTAAATCAAACACACCTCATCACGGCAGTCAACATGCTGCTGTAAAAACCAAACTCACCTTCTGACATCAACAAGAGATTCACCTGAGGGTTGTCATGACAACATTCAGTCTGTGTCTATTCACACCTGTTTCAGTATACAAACACCTGCATCTTTCCTGATCACTGATAAACAAGTTTGATCACTTCCTGTCACCTGTTGAACTCGTAGATGTCCTCGATGTTTCCGAACAGAGCGCACACCTGCTCAGGACGGATGGACAGATCACACTGGTCGATGATGTGGGCCAGGTAATCCTGCAAAGGGGGTAGGACAAGGAGACAAGGAAGGAAAGAAGGAAAAGTCATGGTGGAGGTGAGAAAAAAAAGAGGGGGAGAAGAAAAGATGCTACTTAATACATAAAAAACAATGAGATAAAACAAACTGAAACTCTTGATTATAAGTTTTTGTTTTTGTTGTGTGTCTGTTTGTCCAGCAGGGGTCAGACTGTCATCAATGTGCTGAGGTATTCATGGCTTTTATGTATTTATTATTCTGAAGAGAATATAGATGGTTAAAAGTTTCACATTTTTATTAGACACTCTAAACTTTGATCTTTGACATATTTAATGTTCATTGATAATTCAATTGAATTTTGATAATCACTGATCTAATACCTTTTAATGGTTTAAAATGTTCCTTCGGGTGTTTTTATGTCAGACATTTGCACAAGAAATATTGTATTTCTGCATTTTGCCTGCCATTATAAAGTAGACTATAAAGTTCTATTCTATTTCATCCTCTATTATTCACTTCTATTCTCTTTTATTCTATTCAATTTGTTTCTATATTATTTTAGCAGATTTTTGCTTCCATCTGCACCTGATCTCATTTCAGTTTTACAGTCCTGTTTTTAAAGCTGCCGTCTTCTGATTGTTCCTGATACTAACATTCAGGTCTTTGTGTCTCTGTGAGGACCATTTGTATGGTGGCCTGCAGGTTCACATCCTGGCTCTGGCTCCAGGTTTATCTCTGATCCTCCTCTTATGTAATCAGTTAATCGGCTCCCTGAAGAACGACTTTAATGGTTAATTTTAGTCTGTGACGTCTTCAAATCTGAGCATACTCACAAGAAATCACTACACCTGCTGAAGGTGTCACCGATCTCCATTCACAAATTAAAAAAAGACAAGAACATTTATCAGATCAATAAATAAATATTTCAAATGTGCATCAAATAAGATGACTTTTATAATTTGCTTTGTTTCAACAGAAAAACTGTAAAACCTTGCAGAATCTACTGCTTTTATCACTGGGGATTTTATTTTGAAGGAACTGCTCTCTGTTACGCCGAAAACATACAGGATCCATGCTGAGCGCATTCTGTCAGCGTGTAGCGCCTCTGCTTCGTCGAGCAGTGCTGTCTATCGCCAACAGGATGCATGTTTGGAGTGTAGCAGCAGCAGCGTAGTGCAGCCCCGGTCAGCTGGGCTCAGTATAGAGGAAACATCATACTAGCAACAGGTTGTTTTTGCCATCCTGGGGTCTATTTCCTGCTAATTTGAATATAATTCAGTGACTGTTGAGCCTCTACTGTATGTGAAAAAGCAACACAGTTTTAAAGTTTAAGTTTTTGCAGGTTTACTTGTGTTCAATAAAGTAAACTATGCCGTGCTGTTACCTTCAGACAGAGTTAGCAGTTAAAAGTTCTGGATCTTTAATCTGGGATTTTTTTTTTAATTTTGAGATATAAGACAAACACTTGACTTTTTTTCTGTTAAAAAAAGTCAATTAAAAAACTTCATACCTTCTTTCTTTTGTTCAGCGGTCCTCATTGTCTTCTGTATATAAGTAAATAGTTTGTACGGTTTTTGTACTGTACGTCTTTATCCTCATAAGAATGTCATTTTATTATTGACTTTATTCTCGTAAAATTATGACTTTAAATAAAACTGATGATGTTGGTGATAAAGGACTGACTTACCTCTACTATCATGCGCAGGTCCCTGACGTACATCCTCTCTGTTTCAATGATCTCCATGACAACTCTGTCCAGGTAGGTCAGCTGAGGCGCCATGATAAAGGTCTGTTGGTGTGTGGGCGGAGTCTCTTTGTTTTTGTTGTTATTTATGAGGCCAAGGCTCCGCCCCCTGTTATCAAGCACCTCTCCAGAGTCCAGCTCAGGGTCAGGGGTCTGAGTGGACGTTGGGGGGGTGGCGTTTTCGTCTCGGGATGATCCTGATCCCGAGGACAGTGTGGAGATAAGGCTCAGTGGGCGGGGCTCCGAAGAGTCGGAGGGCGTGGCCGATGGGGCACGCTCATTACTGCTGACAGAGGCGGTTGAGAGACGTGGGGACTCTGTGGTGTGGACAAGTGAGAAACAGTTAAGTTCCAGGTCTCTGTTATACATACTAGGGCTTTTATTTTGAAAAGGACCTCTTATCCAGAAGACAATGTTCATGAAAATGAAATCTTATCATCATTTCAGCTTTTACGATAAGAGTCATTTTTTATCAACTGTAGAAAAACTTTCACAATAAGAGTCCTACTGTTTGACAAACAGAGAACTCTAATAGAGTCTTTGAATAAAAAGACTCTTAAAAACAGCATTTCACAATAAAAGTCCTGTGCTCATCCAAGGAAAACTTTCAGAATAAGAGTCCTGTTATAAGAGTCCATCAGAGTGTGAATACTTTCACAACAAATTCCCTATGTACTTATTCTACTCGTGTTGTCAGATAGAGGGCACCCTTTCACAATAAAGGCTTCAGTTTGGTTATGATTTTTAAAGTAGAAGACAGATTTGAAGGAGTTTGTTTTTTGTTCCTGGTACAGTGTGATTACAGGATGTGAAGTAACAGACTGATGGTGACACCATACTTATTATCATCATTGTTGTTAAAAACTCCCTCAGCTGATAATGATGCTGTAATAATCAGGTTCCTCCTCCAGCTCTCAGGTTCAGTCTGTTCCCTTGGTCTACAGAGTTTCAGGAAACCTCTGAAGAATTTGAAGAATCCCTCATAACAGGTTTTAAACTGATGGAACAGGAAATTCCTCCTCACTTTAAATTGAGACCCTGAACACAGCGGGGACAGATGTGAGCTCTGTGTTTACACCTTAAAGCTGATTTCAAACTGATCTCAGCTGAGGGTGCGCTGTATTCAATATACCTGCTGTAACAGCAGTAAATCTGAACATTTAAGGAGCAAAGTGAAAAATATGTCTCACTTCTGCATGTAGAAAAGGTGTGTTAGCTCGCTAAGCTAACAGGGCAGAGACATCTGAACAAAGACTGTTCAGAAAAGCTGAAACATCACCATAAACACACACCCAGACTCAGATGGGTCTTTGTCTGGAGCTTCCCCTCAGCTGGGGCTGTTCAGTCACTGCTGTGTTTCCCATGATGCTTCGGTGAATGTAAACAGGAAGTACAATGTCTAAATTAGAAGACCATACCCTGTATAAAACCTGGTCGTTGGTTTCTAAAGAGATGTTTAAAGATGTGACAATACTCATAGTGGAAATTATGGCTCTCACTAACTTCCTGATCCAGAAAAGGCAAAGAATCAGAGCCTAGCCACCTGGCTGACAGCGACAACACACTTACTATCACTCAAACAGGCCACTTCCCCTACTTATGCATAATTTTAAAATGGGGCTCTATGGAGACTGACTCACTTTAGGGGACACCCTCTAGTGGACACTACGGGCAGTTTTCTTTAAACACAGTTTTTTGTTAATCACCTGTGGTTGCAATTTGGACAAACAACACAGTTCATGACACTACCGTCCAATCAACCAATCACGCAGCAGGTTCCCTCCACCCAGTCAGATTCATCACATGATTTAACACGTCTGATCATTAACACAGATTGATTTATGATTTGTTGATTCGATGGATTCACAGTCTAATGCTCTGATTACTGCGGCATGCTGGGATTTTTTTTTTTGTCATTGACTTCTATGAGTTCACAAGGCGGCCATTTGGAATGTCAATGTTGGAAAACGGCAGAGAAATTTTAACATTCAAAGAGATTTCTGTTTTTGTATCTTGATTCGAAAGTCAGACTGTATAGTCCTTTGGGTTTTACACTGGTGTAATATAATAATGACGACTACTAAACTGGAAGAAATAAGACAATACTTAGGAATTAAAGGGAGCCATTGACAATAAATAACCAGCAAATAAAGGAGAAGGATTTAATCAACTTTTACTTTTTCCTACTTCCTACCTGTTTGGATGGTTAGTTTCATTTTACAACATGTTTTTATACTGCATGGTTTCTTTCACCTTCATTTTTAAAAAAAAAAGACACAAATCAACTGGGGTGTTGAACCACAGGAACTTTCTCATAGTTCCAGGAACTGTTGGAACCCCCCGACCCCCACCTCAATATATAAGCTGTAGTGGCTGATATGTTGGGAGGGTCTTGGTTGGTCTGATCAAAAACATGCTAATATGCAAAACTTTAAACAGATATTGTTGATAACTTGGGCAGAAAATAATGAATATTATTGAATAAAACACTTTAATAAAGTCAGTTCGAGATCAGGTAGCTTCCCACACTAACTCTTCAAAATGACCGCCATGTGTTGTTGTTGGCAAACATACCAGCTAACCACTCCTCTGAGGGTTTAGCTAAAAGTCTGAACAGCAGAGGCAGTGAGAGTCCACCTGAGACAAAACACAACATAGAGTCATCAAGAGTCCAACAAACTGAAAAACAAACACAGTAAAAAGACAAATAAATCTTCTTGTAACTGGTTTGAAACTCTCCTGCTGTTAATATTCATGCTAGCTTTTTACAACAGAAAGTTAGTTTGTCAGTTTGACTGTGAGAAGTTTGATTTAGTGTGGTTTCAGTCGTAATAATGTGTTTACATGTTTTCTCAAAGACCAGTTTCAGTTTCACTAACAGTGCATAACCATACTGTTTATATATATATATATATATACACATACATAGTTTCTGAGGTTGACAGTGTTGTTTGATAGTCAGGTTACAGTGAGAGCTCCCTCTACTGGATCAAAGCTGCTTCGGATGTGCTGATAAACTGTATATAAAACAGCTAATGGCAGTTTGAAGGAATACCTTGATTTCAGATAAAATGAAGCAGTTCCAAATATCAGTTATTAGGTTCATGAGCTACCAATAATCAGCATCGACCCAAAAACAAACAAACAAAAAAAAATCAGTCAACCCCCAATGGAAAGAGGTCAGGTTATTGTCACATCATGTTTAAAACATAAAAGGTAGAGAATTACTGTCTGGTTTGTGTGATTGTTTCTCAAACATACACACTCCCACTCCGAGTTTGAATCCACGCTCACAATTTCACTACAACAGATTTAACTCTGAACATGTGGAGAAAGAAGTTTGATAAGGGTGCGTTCAGGATCGACACAGAACAGTCATGTTTTCATTTGTTCTTAAACTCTGTTTTTAGACAACACAACAAACTCCACACAGACCCACACACACGTCAGACTGTGAGTGTTTGAATGAAAACAACTTCAAACTGCAGACTGGACACACACACACCCACACACACACACACCCACACACACACATACACACACACTGAGTCCGTTAGTCACTTGGCTTCCTGCCAGTGTTAAGTCAGCGAGGCGTTCACTGACCCAGCAGGAAGGGAATTTATGGCTTCTGGCCACTTAAACGTGATAAGAAAGGAAAAGGAGGACCAGTCAGAGCTCGGAGTTTACATTCAAACATACAGGTGTGAACTTTGACCTCTGCAGCCGTTAGCACGCACACAAACATCACAGCATCATCTGCTGTCCAGAGAGAAACGGCACAGACACATGAATAAATATTTAAGTTTACAGACAGTAAAACAAACATCTGCACGTTCATGGAAAACCTCATCACTTAGAAACTCCAACCTTTACAGAGAAGAACCAAAACCTGTGACTGAGGACAGACCAGGACCCTGCAGCCACTCACCCAACCAGCGACGAGGAAAACCCCGTCTGAGCCGCCGCTCCTCCCCAACACTCCTGAAGGAGATCCTCACCTCCTCCTCAGATATTGAGCACCTCACCACAGCTACACCTCCTCCTCCTCCTCCTCCTCCTGCTGACAGGCTTCTCCATATCCTCCTCTGATACCCCATCTGCTCTACCGCACCTCCAAAAATCTCCCTCAGCAGTGTAAAGAGGAGACACTCAGGTGTCCTGCAGCTTTACAGACACCTGAAGGCTCCACGGGCCTGAACTAACTGAAGCTGCATGTTCACAATACAGAGAGGAGGACGACAGGTCACACATGGAGAGAGAGGAGGGACAGAACAGATGGAGGAGGAGTCGATTAGGAGGCGTCAGAGGAGTTTAAAAGAAGCAAAGGAAACAGGAAGTGATGTCAGGAGGGGACTATAAAAGAGAGAAGAAAAGAGGAGAAAAAGGGGTTTTCTTGAAATGATCAGACTTTTATTCTGAAGGCTGCATCTTCAGCAGCTTGATGACTCTGTCTCTGTTTCTGCTCTACAGGTTTACAGGTGAGCTGATCTCTGAGCTCCTATTGGTCGATGACACCAACACCACCCAGAGAGTACACTCAGACACACAGTCCACGATGAGTCAGGACTGTGTGAGTGGTTTTAGACATTTTTAAACCAGCAGCTGTCCTTCTGAAACCCTCTGAAAATTTATCTCTAGCTCTCATGAGGAACTTTTGTCTTGAGCACTCTAACACTTGACTTCTATTGTGGGCTTACATGAAAAGCAAATCAAACATCTAACAAACAGAGCAAACTTGGGACGGGTCATGGTGTTTGAGTATATTCATCACTGTGTAAATAAAAATCTGAGGTTCTTGATTAATCAATAACCCCTGAAAGCACACTGCACTTATGTGGTCTAAGGTCCTTATGCAAACTGCTCGGCTGTGGTGGTTTAAAACATCAGATCTAAACTGATGTTTCATTATTTAATATAAATTTAATATTTGATTCACAGCTCACTGTTGCAGTGTGAGTGTGTTTGAAGCTCTGACCTTTACCTGAGTGACTCACAGCAGCTTCTGAACTCTGCAGGGCTCACAGAAACCCACCAAACCCCACTCAGAGAATCACCAACCTAACATCGGATCTACTCCTCACAGAAACCAAACAGGAGAAATAAAGTCATGATGTGTTTTTTCATCATTTCTATCTGTTTATCGTCTTGTTTGTCATCATCTCGCAGACTTAGCTGTGATTTTGTTTCTTCCTCAGTGTCTTTTCTTTATTTTTTGAAACACTGTGTGCAGACTGTTTGGCAGCTGATGTCATGTGATCATCAGAGGACATGAAAACGGTGGCTGCTCTCAGATCAGTTCATGTTCTTTGACTGTTTTCAGTTATAGATTACAGACTGACTGTGATCTCTGTCGGCTTGCAGCGATCAGCTGATTTGAGAGCAGCGTCTCTCTGTCCATCTGTTTGTTTGTTCGTTTGTGTCTTTGAGCGTCTCACAGGAGGGCGGGGCTAAGAGACAGAATAATGGCCGACTGTTCTGGAGACACAGCGGCGTTCTTCAGCCACGACGTCTCATCCTGATGCCACAGACTCATGTTGTGACTTCAGACAACCAATCAGCTATCACACTCAGGACCAGCATCAAAGTGAGAGGAGGAGTCCAGATAATTTTCATTTCTTCATCAGTCTCACAGATTAAAGCTCTGTCTCATCTTCTGTCAGTGCTGACCTCAGATCTGCTCCTCTCGTTGTGCTGACTCATGATTGGTCAGTTACAGACAGGAAGAGACATCTAGTGCTTGCACATTCCTGAAGAGACGTATCACTTCCTGTCAGCTGATCAGCCAGTGACCCACTCTGATGTGAATCTGTCCACCTGTCTGCGTCTCCCCTCCTCTTCCTCCCCCTCAGTGGGGTGGGGGAGACGACGGGAGGATTATTAGGGAGTTCCAGCGTGCTTTGAATGCCTCGCTAAGGGAGATTAACCCCTCATCTCCCAGCTGAAACATGCAAAGAAGGCACAACACCTGCTGGTCACATGACCTTCAGTCTCATCTTAACTAGCATGATAGCGGACACACGCAGGTGCAGTACAGCCTGTGTCCACCAGGGGGCAGTATCATGTTAAACAAACGAGCACATACAGAAAAAAGGATAAAGAAAGAGTCTCAGTCGTATAAATAACATAGACCTGCTCATGTGTTCAGCAGTGCCTCCTGTGGTCACCTTTGGTATTACAGCTACAACTACAACAAAAGCTAAAGCAGACCTTGTTCATATATGTTCTTTTATACCAAATGAACGATCATCGCCACTGTTTTAACTACTGACTCTAGATTCACCAGTCATTTATGTTAACCTGTGTGTGTGTGTAATCTGTAATTATGAGGATTAAGTAGCGAGTTAATCCTATACAGTAATTACAGAGATTAAAACTAACCATTCGCACATCACGCAGTACACCTGGTACTGGCAACAAGTCCTCAAACCCAAACATGAAGTAGAGCAGCTGATTGCGTATCCAAATCAATAAAACAAACCAGTTAATTTACACCAGTAAAACCAGTTCACAGTCACAACAAATAAGTCTTAACCCGTGTGAACCCTCAAAATCAGTATGACCCCACTCTGGTCTGCTTTAACTCACAATGAACGCTGCAAACTGAATCAAACAAGTTTCTTTCAGTCAACGCATCAATGTAAAGGTCCTTACACACCAGGGCCGACACGAATATAGAACGCAAAATCATGAAATATTCAGAGAAGAATTTTGACTATACACATCAAGCCCTATGCAATTTTGCGACTTTCTGGGGGGAAAAAGACGCATCCCGGGGAAGACTTTTCCAGGGGAAAGTCCCGCCTCCTTCGCCTCTGATTGGCTAGAAAACTGGAAACGACATCACACGCTCAAGCCAAACGGTCAGCACTTATAGCCAATCAGAGGCGAAGGAGGGCGGGACCTTCCCATAACAATCAGCGTCCTGGGTGGAAGCGAGACGACAAAAATGGAGTCTACTTCAGCTTCAAGTGATGGCGAATTGGCGAATCAGCCGGTCGGATATGTTGGATATACCGGTGAATCTGACATCGCAACAACACGCAATCTGATTGGTCAGAAGTGGACACACAGTATGCAAAACTTTAACAAAAACGGCCCCGGTGTGTAAGGACCTTAAGCCAGTAAAGTCCGGTATAAACCAGTTTAAATGGAACAAGCTGAACACAGTGGGGTAAAACCAATCAAACTTCTCACGATAACAAACTGGTACAGCACTGGACCAAAGAGCAGGAGGGACTTTCTAAACCAGTACACTCAAAAGGAGAACCAAACAAACCAGTCTAAACCAATAAGACCCTTACAAAACCAATATACACAAAACATTTCCCATACAATCCAGTTTACCTTACTACAGACCAAAACAAGCCAGTGTACACCAAAAAAACGCACATAAAAACCAGTATGCACTCAGTAATCAACAACAAACCAGTATACATCAATAAAGAACCATACAAACCTGTAAAGAGTAATTACGGCCCAAGCAAACCATTACACACCAGTGTCCACCAGGACTCCCCGACATGAGCTAATGTGAACCATTATCTGGAAAAAACCACTTCAGGATGGCTGTGGCCCTGCCGTAAAGTCTTGTATACTGTTTACATGCCAAATGTCCTCGATCGAGATTCCTAACCCCAAAGAGGTGTAATGTGGTGAATGTGACACATGTGAAAGCGCTTTGAGTGGACAGAAAACTTTAAAAAAAACAGTGTGAATACAGTTTATTTAACATTCAATACACCAGCTAACACCAATGAACACCTACATAAACAAAGTATTCACAAAAACACACAAAGATACGCTTATATAAACCCATAAGATGTTACACTGTATAAACCAATGGAAACCAGTTCACAACAATGTGGACAAATGAGCCATCTGGCAAAAATCTGACTAGAGTGACCAAGACTGTCTTTTCAGGGCTGATATTGATACAGATTATTGTTATTTCATGAGAACAGATAAAAGTTGACAGTCAAAATCAAAAACTTTCTGTCTGCGAAGTCGTGTGACTTCTTGCCAATCAGTGGACAGTGCTAATGTGAGATGAAGTAGTGCAAGAAAACAGAGCCCCCTGCAGCTGAGGAAAGTTACACCTTTAAGATTCTATTTTATTGGCCAAGTATAAAATAAAAGGCTGGTGCATATAATCAGACAAGGCCAATAACAAAATAAACTACCAAAAATAACTTTAACTAGTTAACAACAACACGTGCCTAAACACACTGTTATAAACCAACAAAATCACTAACAATTGTACTATACAGTTATACATCATCATAAACAAGTTCACTACAATACATGCTTGTACAGGCTTAGTGTGATAATGATGAGCTGAAAACTAACATAATAAACGATACAGCTGTGCGTGCGTGTGTGTGTAAGAGAGAGAGAGAGAGAGTTAGAGGCTGTGGTGATCACAGCTCAATATAAATGGAAATAAAACAAGTTGAAACGCATTTCAGCCAGTATAAGGAGCTACAAACCATTTCATACAAACACATAGATAAAAAGGCACCAATAAATATCAGCCAGTGTGACCCAGAAATATAAAAATAAAACTACATTAACCTAATTTGATAACAACAACAACAATAATAATAATAATAATAATAATAATAATAATATTGGACCATCTAAATCAAGCTGAATTAACCAATAAAAAAAATATATTTTAAAAAATTTACTACAGATTAACCGACATAAACCAGAACTAATTTAGTTACTTTGGCGCCAGTATGACCCAGTATAGACCAGTATCTGGACTAGTTTTCAGTGGTGTTAATAATCACCTCCTCTCTTATGTAACACATTTAAAGTCAGCTTGTTTCCATGGTGATTAAGACTCTGATCATGTGACCAGATTAGTTCTAAGTGAAGAGATGTGAAGACTGTTAGGGAGTGACAAACAGACACACACACACAAAGACACATGCGCGCACACACACACAAAGACACACACACACACACACACACACAATAATCATGTTTACCTCCAACCAAACCCAGATCAAAAAGTGAAGCTCTCTGATTGGTCCTTTTGCACACCTATTCAATACCTCCATCTGAATTAAATCCTCACAAAGTAGATCACAAACACACCTTTAGTTCTACACCTGTTGACTGAAACTTTTCACACACACACACACACACACACACACACACACACACACACACACACACACACACACACACACACACACACACACACACACACACCGATCAATAACTGGCTGATCTGAATGAAAACATGAGATGCTGTAAAATCCCAGCCTACCTTAAACAGAGCACAGAGAGAGACAAGGGTCCCACTGAGATCAGGACTGATCAGATCTGAGTCTGTACAGGTCTACCTGCAGCTTGAACGGGAGGGGGGCGGGGCTTAATCCAATCAGTGTAAGGGGCGGAGGAGTGACACACCCCCTGCTGGCTGCCTCATGTCATTCTCTAAATTGGCTCTGAGTGATCAGACTGAGACACACAGCCCTGACTTTAGGGTGGGATTCAACTACAAATAGAGGTTCTTTTGTAGTTCTCAAGTGTTTTTAATAAAAAATATGTCATTTGGAGTAAAAACATCCTCTCTAAACAGAGTTTGGAGCTTTGTTACTGTTAAGATTATTCGGATTAGGTTGGATTATTTTTATTTAATCTCATCAAACACAGGAGGAGGCCTTTACATCAGCAGGTGTCAGAGCCAGAGATTGACAGGTAAACAGGTGATGATATCAGGTGACGTACAGTCCTGCTGTTGACTCAGTGACATCAGATGAAGTGAACAAACATCACTCTCAGGTGTGTGTGTGTGTGTGTGTGTGTGTGTGTGTGTGTGTGTGTGTGTGTGTGTGTGTGTGTGTGTGTGTGTGTGTGCAGACAGGTGTGATCCACCTGTTGCTCTGCAGCTCAGAGCTTCACATTAATTTACCTATTAACACACCTGTGCACACACCTTGTTGTGTTTATAAGGAGGTCATTTCTGAAAGTTTCTCCTCATGCTTCACATCTTTAAAACCTGATCAGGACAGAAACAGACTGATGGAAGACATGTGACAAAATAAGACGTCTGCTAAATTTCTGCACAAAATCAGTGTATTTAGACAGACAACCTTTGAAATAAAAGCAATCATTTCCAAAGATGTTTTAGTCACAGGGCTGGAGATGTGGATTGGTCAATTGTATTTATAAGTAAAGATTATTAAGCAACATGTCGCTTTACTCTGTCATGTATTTCCCCAATCTGGCTGCTTGTGTTGCTTTTTTCCAAAGTTATGCATAAATATTGAAATAGTGTTGTTATCATGTTTCTTCCACTATAATCCCAAGGTGAAAATCCGATAAGGTGACACGCTGCAGAAACAGAGTGTGTTTGAAGATTCACACTGAGTGATACGTTGAAGACAGCAGGAGGCGATTTTTCACTCTGAAAACACCACTCAAACACAAACAGCTGAGAGTTACATCAGACAGCTCAGAGAGACAGACAGGCGTCTTTTGTCCTCTGTGGGACATGTTCAGTGTTACGTTTGTCAGAGCTGCTGATTCCCAACACAACAAAGAAGAAAGAAAGAAAGACAGCACAGAGCCACACAGACGACAGCAGAGAGGACGGACTGACATGGTTAAAACCTCTGTCTGTTATAGTGACCAGAGGATGATGATGAGGTATTTATGGACACACTGGAGACAGTTTTAAGCCTCCGCTGATAACAGACACCTGATCTGATCTCATCCTCCTCCACTCCTATTTCATCATTTTGCACAACTTTAACTTTCATTTGCAGTCAAAGTCTTAAGATGCAACTTGCAGGTTGAAGATCCTGGTGGATCAGTGGATTGGAAAAATATTTGCCTTTATGAAGTCCCAGTAATTTCTAAAAAGTTTTGTTTCACTTCATTGACAAAAACAGACGGCTGGTTGTGACAGGAGGCAGTCTTGTTGGTGAAAGTCATATTTAACATAAATAATAAGGACCTAAATGACAGTGTCCTTAAAAAACAGGAAGAAAATGTTTTTTTTTTTTTTTAAGCAAACTATCTCAAGCTCATGATTTAGAAAATAAGATATGATGATGAGATACTCCTTTATTAGTCACACAAAGGGAAATTCACATTTACAGTTCAATAAAATAACAGCCACAGGAGATGTTAAGTGAAGGAGCAATCAGACCCAGCTGCCACATCCGATACTGTGTTCACATCACAGGTTGTCAGTTTATAATAACACAGTAAGAGACAGATCATTTAAGAGAAGAGCAGATACAACGTGGATCTGTCTGTGTCTGTCATTGTCAAGCTGTGTATCTCGCTCAATAAGGGGGGGCGACGTGTCCTGCATATCCGTGTCCAGTCCACCCCATGATTACAATACATTATCTATGTCTCCACATGCTGTAATTAACACAAGACCACAAGCAGTTCATTGTAGCCCATAATAATGTACTGTGGAGAAGACACAGACTGCTATCAGTTTTTTTTTATAAAGGTGAGTTGAAGAGGAACAGACGGAGAGAAAAGGGAAGACAACAGTGTCTTAATACTTTGCTTATGGGTGTTTGTGTTGGAAATGTCTGCTCGATGTGACTTAACATATTGTGACGGTGAAAAGAAAATGCAAAACAGACACTTTTTTCTCCAAAAGTTCACCTTTTTGTCTAGTAAACTATCTAAACAGAACTACTCAGCACCTATTTTTAAACTAAATTATGCATCTAATTTAAAATAATTCACTTACAGGTTTACACTTCAAAGACAAAATTATGAGTATTTTCCTGGGTACTGATAACCACAACCATCAGCACCATCTCATAATGTTTCTATGTAACAAGTCTGTGACACAACACAATAACAGGAGATATTTCTCATCTTTCCAAGCCGGTAGTGGAGCATCAAGGTTTTCTCTAACAGATGTATGGCCATATTTACTTTGAGCGCAACCAGCGTGTGACCAACACATTACCCAGACATCCATTTATCAAGAATTGATCACGACTAAGACAACTTCAACCCAGACCCTGTTAGATCAACATGCAAGTTATGCTACACATCCACAAAAACAACCACAAACACAACAAATAAGACCACAAGAGTCTGAAGTGACTCAGAAACAGCTGTTTTTCACAGCACATTGAGGAAGAGTAACTGACCTTCATCCATGGGGACGCCATGAGATGAGCTGTGAGAGTCTTCAGGCATCACACCGTCACCTAAACAGAGAGGGAAAGAAACACAAGTTACACACTGAAAAATCACCAAAAAGTTTATTTTTCAGGTTAATACTACGAAGCCAGAGTGAAGCCTTTGTGTGACTAACAGTAAAACTGAGACTTCTCATATACAGATGAATGAAGCAACTCCTGAACAATGGAACGAAGACTACTTAGTTAAAAATGATAAAGCCTCTGTGTAACTTGTTATCTACAGTGAATCAGAGACTGACCTGTAACAGATGAACAAAGCCTTTGTCACTTATCTCAAATTGTGAAACTGAAACTTATTGTGTTAATAATAATAAAGTAAGCCAGAGTGAAGCTTCTGTGAAACATATAACTTTAGAACTGAGACACACTTTAAATGAATGATCAAATCCTCGTTGCAATTTATTTTCATCGGCGAAACTGAGACTCATCAGGTTAAAAATAATGAAGTTGGCCTGGGTGAAGCATCTGAATAACTTACTATTTGTGGTTATACTGAAACTTAACACAAATCGATGAATGAAGCCTCTTTGTAACCTACTATTAACAGTAAAACTGAGACTCAAAGTGAGACCTCTTTTTAACCTACAATTAAACAGTGAAACTTGGACTCAGCAGGTTAATAATACTGAAGCGCATCAGAGTCAGTCCTCTATGCAACTTTCTATTTACAGTGAAACTAAGACTCACTACAAGGTGCATACCTTGTAGTGAGTCAAGGGCCATTTTTGGCCCAAGGGATCTAAAGGGCCAACAATGACTGAGTCGCTGGTATATCTGGAAGAGGACAATTCTCCTCTCCTTTGATCTGAAAACATGGCTGCTTCTCAAGTTGCTTATTTGACTGCATACAAAAAAGGGAGACTCGAAGAGAGAAGAGGCCTGTCTTTGCTGTTAGACGGATACACCTCAGTCAGATGATACTTGATTTGTTCTGAGATTTGTCTCTATTTAACAAATATTAATTCATTATAAATATTAGGGTGTCATCAACATACTGACGACCTCAACAGAGTTTTAACAGGCTAACTAATTAAACAATGACTCTATAACCTGTTTTTTCAACACCACCAGTTACAAAAACACTGAAACAATAACCTATGAAGATTCTCCTACAAACACTAACCATCAAAGTCAACATCAGACCATCACCACAAGTCCAAAAACAGAAAGTTAAACCAGGTGAGTTGTCACATCACTGAGCTTGAGGGTTTCATTTTCTGCAGGCACAGACCGGCCCATCTGTTAGGTGATCAGTAAACTACAGCTCTCTCACTATTTGACAGTTTAAGGTTAATGTTTTGTTGCTGCATGTAGATGCTTCAAAGAGAAAAACAAAAGACTAAAACACCATATTAGTGAAAGAAACCTGAGCTGCTTCCCCTTGAAGTACAAATACACTAAAACCAGTTTAACTACATGCCCAGTACTACTCTGCGTGTGGATGGAGGTGCTGGGGGTGGGGGGCATCTGCAGGTGTTTAAATATCAGCAGGTAGTGATGCATTCAAGGACACATCGGCTGAGGAGTCAGCACATCCAGCTGATGCAGACATGCTTAGGTAGACTGTGATATTATTGTACAGTGTTTATGGCACCTATATGTCTTTGTTACTGGATGATGAGGGGGCAGCAGTCAGAGGTCACATCTATTATCACACTGTGGTAAATCAGAGCAGTTCCACTCCAGGTCCAGGAAGGTCCAGTGGTTTGACCATGACTCAGGGACAGTGGAAATTAATCGGTCCAGAGCACATTCTGTACTATCATCACTGACTTTTTCAGAAAGTTATCATAGTCCTGCTGACGACTGCGAGAGTCAACAGGTTGTGTGCGTCAGTGTGTGTGTGTGTGTTTGTGTTTTTGTGTGTGTGTGTGTATTAGCCTGTGGTTTGTCAGGTGACGACATCTAAATCAGCTGTGTGAGCTTGACCGACGGCAATGAGGGCAAAACAAACTCTGTGAGGACTGAAGGACTGAGCTGACCGCCTAAAACAGATCAACTTCAACAGAACTGTATTCATCAACATCATCAGTATTGCAAAGAGGTCTACCCAAGTATATTTGCTGGTTTTCTTTCCATTTTTCTTCCTTTTTAAAATTTTAATGCACTCTCTACTACTTTGGCTGACTACAGGGACTAAGCTAACAGGTCTTACTTTTGATGCACATATCGAAAAATAAACATTTTCTTATTTGCATCCCAAAATTATTGATGAAGACACAAATCGGAAAGGTCCATACTAGGGCCAACATTTTTTTCAGGAAGTCAATTTCAAACCAAGATTGAACATGATGTGCAAGTCTTCGGTTGAATTAAATACTTGCTGCCCAATGGTGGTGCCTCTTCAGCTGCAAGTGCCATTTCACATGAGGAGCGAAGCACTTGGTAAAGTTGTCATTAACGACTAAACCAACTGTTCAGTAGTTAAGACTCATGACTCAAAACTAAAGGTGATAGAGCTTTCTCCATTAGAGCTCCTTGACCTTGGAACGACCTGCCAGGGGAGACAAGGCTTGCAAAAACAGTCACTTCTTTTAGGTCAAATTTAAAAACTAAATTTTACAGACTTCTTTTATCTCTTAAATCTGTCATCTCTTGCGTCTTTTACCTCTATCTTATTTTGGCTTTACTGTCTTTTTAGCTTTTTTTTATACTTATACTCTTTTCTTAATTAACCTTTTAGGCCTTTTATTGATTTATCTCTTGCTCATTTCTGCTGCTCTATTTTATCATTACTGTTATTATTACCTGTTATTTCTTTATTATCATTGTTGATATTGCCTTTTATATTTACTATCCTGCTTCCTCTTTCGACCTCCTTTTAATTTTATTATTATTATTATTATTGTTATTATTATTATTATAGTACAGAGCTCTTTATCTTTGTCTCGCACACTGCTCTTCGTACATGTTTTGGTGTCGTGCTCATCCTCTCAGTGCAGCCTTGCTTGACCGTGTCTCCTCTCCCTGCTCTCCTCTCTCCACCTGTGCCTGGCCAACAATCTGTGCCTCTACAGCACAGCATGTTGAGGATACAGCAGTCTACCATTAATCTCAAAGAGAGCTGCAACTTTCATATGCTCCCCAACTTTGTTTCATATTGACCAGAGCTTGTCTTCCACCTGCTGTCATGTTTGTTTTGTTGCTGATGAGGCTGTGTCTGCCCACAGAGCCGGCAGCTGACAGAAACAGGGGCAAAGTGCACACATGCCACAGTATCCTGTTTTCTTCTTGAGGTTTCCAGGTAGCAAAAGCACAGCTTTTCAAGATGTAGATCAGGTTTGTTCACATTCACAAGCATAAAAATGGGAAACCCAAGCAGACCAAGATATTCAAGTTCATGTGAATGCACTCTGTGAGGTCTAGCAATTTGCAGTGGAGCTCTACTGGCAAATAGTGCAGACATCATAGCATGTAAACACCACTTCTTTATCAAGATCTGTAAATATCAAATGCACGTAAGCACAACAACAAGCAAAAGTAAAGATTTGAAGCAGCTGGTGTGATAAAGAGTCCTCCCTGCTGCAGCCTCCTCTCCTTTAACTCGCCTGCCTTTAAGACATGTTTAGTGTCAGGTTTTCTACCTTCGTGAAAGACGCGGACGTCAGCTAAACTGTCTCAGACTTTTACTGAAACTCTGTTATACTTTCTGTTTATCTCGGTGCAGCAGATTGTATCAAGCTGCTGTGCCTGTGATGAAATCGGAGAAGAGTTCAGACTTGTTTCTGCTGCTCGCTGCAGTTTAGGGCGTGTTTGGAGAGCTGCTGGAGATACAGACTTAAAGTCAAAATACAGGAGAAGTTCACTCTCCTCTGAGGATAACGTGGAAGCTGAATTAAAGACATGATCTATCTGAGTTCAAACTAATCAGGTTAAAGTGAGAGGTGTCAAAGTTTGGTTCGTACAAGCTGCTAATCTTTAAATGTCGAGGTTTTCAGACGGAGTTCTGCGCTGACGCACAGCCACCGCCACAGATGGTGAACTTTCCCGAGTCTGAAAAAACTCTGAAACTCTGAGATTTGTCCGGAGAAGCAGCAGGAGCATTTGTCCAGGTGTGCCTAACTTTGTGAATGTTTGCAGAGGGTGAGGCAGACACCGGAGCTCCTTCATTATCATGCACACTTCCGCGTAGACTGAGCTCAGCAGTGTCAAAGTGAGATCCATCAGTCAGATAACTAGAAACAGTCAGACCAGAACACTCTGAACAACCACACAAACTCTGAAACACACCTGTGTGTGAGCGGATACCTACAGAGAGGAGGCAGACTCACCTCAGTCAACTTTCTACAAAACTTCAGTCTCTTCATCAGCTGCATCCACTCGAAGCTCTCAGTTCCTCTCTGCCTCCCAGTTTGTCTGACTGTAGTTGCTGCTGTCGGACACTCTGCGCATGCGCCTCATTTGAAGGACGACTACACTGAAGGATTTCATCACAGTGGATGTTCGTCTAAAAAAAGCGAGTTTTAAAGTGAAACGGTCCTTAAACTCGATCAAAAGAAGGAAGAATCAAGGAATGCTTCTCTCATATATTTTATATGTATTAATTGAAAGAAATGTTTTACTTAAATTAAATCTCAAAATAAAAAAGCACCTGTAAAACACTCGGATTTTCTTAAACAAGCTTTAGTTAAAAAAAAAAAGATGTTGGATTAAAGTCTAAAATCAAAAGTAAAGTCGTAACTTAAAGATTATTTTCATAATTTCATAATTAAAGCTATACTTTTAAATTAAAGTCAGAATTATCAAATTAAAGATAAAATTCAATCGTTGTAAAGAGAGTTAAAGCCAAAGTTCATAGTTTTTAGTCAGAAATCTGGAAATAAATCCAGAACCAGAGATAATAACCAAATTAGGATTCAAGCCAAAATTTCTAGATTAAAGTCAGAGTTTGGAAATAAAGTTAAAATTAAAGATTGAATTTCTAAGTCTAATGATTAAGTTGGAATCACTTAATTAAAGCCAGACTTCTGAGATCAGTGTCAGAATTTAAAGATGAGTCAGAATTCTCAGATTAAAGTCATCATCCTATTGAAGTCAGAATTGCAAATTTAAGCCATAATTCAGAGATAAAAGTCAAATTTTTTAAATGAAAGCCATGATCATAACATCAAAATGATATTTCTCAAATTATAACTCAAATTGTAAATCAGAATTTGAAAAATTTGAGCTCTAATTTTAAATTGAATTACAAATCCAAAAATTAAAGTCAGGATTATAAGATTTAAGATTAAATTCCATGACTGTAATTCAAGTTCCAAGAATTTAGCCAGAATTCAAAGAAGGAAGGTACAATTTTAAGATCAAAAATTGAGTTTTTAGATTGAAGTTTGAGTTCTGAGATTAAATAGAATGAAGAAAAAAAAACAGTTCTGAGGATGTGTGTGACTTGTGTATGTATGTGTAGGAACAGTCTGTACGTCTGTACCATAGCCTGTATATAAGAGTATAGTATATACAGTCTGTACTATTTGAATATAATTTGAATTTTAAGGTGTCTGAATAGGGTTTGTCCACTAGAGGACAGCAGAGCGTCAACCAAAATCACACTTCTAACATTCAAACAAACAGACAAACATCTTTAACAATTTAAAGATTAAAGATGTAACAACGACATTAACACCATATGGGCTTTTATTAGTTCATTAAGTTTTTACATTCAGAAGGTTTACATCAGCATGTTTCAACAGTTTGACTAAAAAAAATCAGTTCATTAATGTTTCAAATGGAGAAAGTTGAAATTTTACTTTGGTTTAAGTTTGGCTTGATAAGAAAAAAACTGCTTTTAAAACAAAGATTTAAACAAGATGGCAGCAGAAAAAAGCACCCTGAGAGAATAAAAAACTTCATATTTACAACAAAAAATTTACATTAGAACGTAAAATTACAAACCTGAGACCCAAACACAGAAATCATAAATATATTCAACTCAAACAGCACACAGTCAAAACATGTTTAAACAGCAGCACACTGTAAAAACATGTTTAGATAATAACACCATGATAAAACATGTTTATATTAAAATGTGGAATCATACATTAACAGCAGCACACTGTAAAAACACATTTAAACAGCAGCAAACTGTAAAAACATCTTTAAACAACAGCACACTGTAAAAACATGTAGATACAACCTGAGATCATGAGCAGCTGTTTAATAATGTTTTTTGAAATCTTAACGGGGTTTGAAAACACAGGAAGAGGAAAAATGGGGAAGAACATCAGTAACAGCTCCTTGCGATTGGTTGTCATGGTCACAACAGTGATGACTTCACGCAGTTGCAAAGCTGATGATGTCATACAGGTTTGGTGGTGCTGTTGTAAACGAGCGTGTCCTGCTCTGACAGTGCCACATGGGCTGGGCCTGCTGGGACGGGCCTATGGGAACGCTCTTTCTTCCTCTTGAGGAAACAGTAGGTGAGGATCGCCAGCAGAGCCAAGATGGCCACTGACAGGAGGACAGCAAGTGCTATGTTTCCTGTGAAGAAAGTGAGGTCACTTCCTGTCAGCTCACTTGACAGTAAAACTAAGGCACTTTAAAAGATTATCAGTTAAAGTATCTTAAATCTTTTTTATATTCATTTAATAAAACTTTTGAACAGATTTAAAAGTTTCTCACCAGAGTCACTTCCTGCTTGTTCTTCTGCTTCATCTTTTTCATAGCGATTAAACATCCCTCTGAAGAAAACACTGCGCTCTGGACACACGCATACACACACACACACACACACACACACACACACACACACACATTAATCTATACAGAAAAACTTGTATCATGTATTTAAAAAGTCACGTTTATAGTTTCTTTCTGAGCTGCCATTTAATGTGAGCAGTTTATGCTGACACGTCAAAGTTAGATGCACTGTCTGATTTACACCAGCAGATGGTGCAAGTGATTGATGGCAGGAAGACTTTCAGGCATATTCCGTTGTAAAAATTAATTTAGGGTCAAACACACTGTAACACAGAGTTAGACACCTCCTCTGAGAGATGAATGTTGCCGACTGCTTGCTTCTCTAGTTAAACCAACTTTAGTAACAACCGCAGATAGCAATATACAGCGGTCTGAGGAACCATAAACAAACCTCAACCAAAAAGCCACCAGGAGCATTTTTTGTGCGATTATTTCGGACGTCAATATATTGTTTTTGAACCCGTACCCTGTCAATACAAGCGTTCACATCAGCGATGTTTTCCTGTCCTGCGATATTGCGGCATTTATTTTTTCGTAGCACAGTCAAGGTTTCTAAGGTTTTGCATACTGTTTGTCCACTTCTGACCAATCAGATTGCGTGTTGTTGCGACGTCAGATTCACTGGTATATCCAACATGGCCGACCGGCTAATTGTTTACGTGTCGGAGAACAGAGTGCTTTTTGATAAAAGACATACACATTACAAAGATAACAACTTGTGGAGAATCATAGTGTCGGTTTCTCATATGACGGCGTTTTGTGTGCTTTAACAGTTTGCTAAACGTCGCAAATCGCATTGCTGTCACAGCACCATTAGGTCTTGGTTGTTACCTTGCGTTTATGGATTATAGTTTAATGTACTAATCTGGTACTGGCCCCGACTCAGTACATGCTATCATGACAGACAGACATCTCAACACTAGTGTCTAATCAGAACTGAAAAACACTCAGTCTGCTGTTGTGTCAGTCTTCTCGCTTCCACCCGGGACGCGTCTTTTTTCCCCCGGAAAGTCGCAAAATCACATCAGCTTGATGTGTATAGTCAGGCGCATCAAAATTCGCCTCTGAATATTTCTTAATTTCATATCGTATATTTGCGTCGTTCCCGGTGTTTAAAGACCTTAAAGCCACAAATAATGCTCAGAACAGCACCTAACTTCATCAACAGTACATATAGGGTCCCATCCATAGTACTAGCCACCAAACATCTTTTTAGCTTAGCCTACTTCCTTTAGCAAAGAGACTAAACACAACTCACCCACTCTCTTCCAGTATCCACTTGTTTGTAGCAAGACCTCGGGCCAGTCCATTACGGACCACAGCGGGGTTATACAGCTCAAGGAAGAACATTTATGATCATTACTTTATCATTTCCTTGAAGTAATAATCAGCTGTGTCACCCCGCTGCAGTCCTTAATGGACTGGCCCGAGGTCTTGCTACAAACAAGCGGCTGCAAGTAGAGAGTAGAGAGTAGAGAGTTTGACCCTAAATTAATTTTACGCTGGAATATCCCTTTAAGGTTTTTGTGTCTCTGGCTGTAGCTGTATCAGAGTCTGTGAAAGCTGCATATGAGAAATGTTTATGTGAGTTTGTAAATCAGTATCCTACATTTTGCTTAGTGTGTCATGTGACTCAGACGTGTGTTTTTAAATACCAGTCACTCCATCACAGGTCTCTTTGCACTTTTCTTCCTCTTCAAAATTGTTATCATTTCCTTGACAGCCTCCATAGGTGAAGCGGTAGCACTTCTTCTCCAGGGGGTCATAGTACCATTTGGCAAAACTTGCCCGACATGGCCCTGTGAGGGGAGGCTCTGAGCACCGAGCTGAGAAAGGGAGAGAAATAACATTATTATCATGCAAGTATTTGCATTCTGTGCTAGCAGGTGTTCAGAGACGGGACTCACCCTTCCTTTGGTTCACATCTATGTTCAGCAGCCGATTGAACGTCTGATTCACTGGAGAAGAAGAGGAAGAGCAAGGTCACTATTTGTGGAGGGGGGTTCTGTATATATGTGTGTACTTTAGACAGTGTGTGTGTGTTACATTTGGTGCAGTGCATCTCATCTGAGGCGTCCGTGCAGTGATTCACACCGTCACACTCAAGGCTTCGGTCCACGCAGCAACCGTTACTGCAGGTCAGCTGACTGGGTTGACATGTCACACCACACTCCTCTAAACATATATACACACACAAACACACACATACAAGTTAGCATTGTATTATGTAGCAGAGCTAATTTGCAGAGGTGCAATGTGGGACTGACCAGTAGCAGTGAGGCTTCTCTCCATCGTTCCTGTGAACAAAAAACCCAACACATTCAGTTATGAGGAATCCGCTGTGTGTGCTGTATTTGCACAGGTCTGTACAGGTGTGCTGGTTACCTGTGACTCCACTGCAGGCAGTCTCACACTCCTTCAAGGACAGGTAGTTGTTGTTGTTTTGTCTACAGCCTCCAAACACAAACTGTTTACATTCACCTGAGGAGGAGTCATAATGCCAACGAGGAAACGAAGCACGACATGGACCCACCTTCACCGGAGCCCGGCAGTACACTAAGACACACAAACACACACACAGTATGTCAGACAGATTGATTGATCAGTGACCTCTTACCTGTAATTGTTCTTGCATATTGCGTCCTAAGAGCTGACACACCTGTATGTGGATTTAAACATTAACCCCAAGCTACATGTGTGTGTTTGTGGCTGGAGATGTGTGTTGTAATATTTTAAAGAGTGGCTTACATTTGCTGAGTCATAACCCTCTTACCATGGTAACATCCTGTATTTACAGTGGGTGAATCCCACGGTCTCATGTTGCTCAACAGATTTTTACACTGAAACTGATCTCAGACCAGAGAGACAGTAAGACTGACAAAAGCATCACTGAGGCTCACAGAGCAGGTTCACTGTGTGTGTGTGTGTGTGTGTGTGTGTGTGTGTGTGTGTGTGTGTGTGTGTGTGTGTGTGTGTGTGTGTGTGTGTGAGAGACGGGTAATCCAGTTTGACTTGTTTCTGTAAAGGTGTGGATCGTCAACCACAAACACTGATTCACTCTTAAAAACATCAAAGGACTCTAAAGCAACTTTAACTGATCAATAACCTGTTGATAGATCTGAGTTTAACTGATAATAAACAGACTGATCAGTTGATTATCAACCATTGTTTACCTGATCAATAACTAGGAAATTAACCAGGGTATTGCTGTTAAGTTACTGATTAATCTTTAAAAGTACAACAAACCAGTTACAGTTCATAACTTGTTATTTAATTGGTTATAACCTATAGATGAATTATTTAAGCCTAAAAATAGACAGAAGTACAACTGAACAATAACTTGTTATAACCTGATAACTGACCAGAGAGTGACTGACCTTTGAGTAACTTTTGTCAAAACCAGAGTTCAACTGATCAAAACCTGATAGATAAAGTCAATCACAAGAATAGAATAATCAATGACTGATTATAACCTGTTAATTAACCAGAGCAAAACTAACTTTTCAGTGATTTGTTTTCAAAGTATTTTACAAATCTTTACTGAATGTATCCTGCCAATCAACTAGATTTTACTGATAAATAACTTATACATAACTTGTCAATAAATCAGATCTTTTCCTTATCAATCAGAAGTTATAACCAGTTTAATAACCAGGGTATAATTAATCATTATCTATGCATAAGTAACCAACTTATAACGAAGCAAAAATCAATAATAACATAGTTATCAATCAGGGTTTGACTGATTAAGCGAAAAAATTATCTTAAAAAAATCTAATAGTCATTAATAACTAGTTATATCACGTTTATTGACTCCGGTTAAACTAACCAATGGCTAATATTAATTTGTTGATCTGGGTTGGATTGATCAGTATTATTACCAAGACTTGTTTTACCACCAGGGTACAACTGATCAATTATTGATAATAACATGTGAACTGAGCAGTGTTACACTCATAACTGATTGATAGTCAACTGTTTGTAAACCAAAGTAAAACACATCAAAACAATGATCAAAGACATGAACCGTTTGAAATTGATTATAAACTTTTCAAATAATTTGTTATTTAAATTAGGGAACAGCTGGTCAGTTATTGGTTTGACATGGGTTATGTTGATCAATAACTGGTTATTACATGTTGATAAACCACGGTTACACTTACAACTGATCAGCACCGGTTACTGATAATCAACGAAGATTTTTACTGATCAGTTACTAATAAATAACTTGCTTGTACCATAGACTTTTTACTTGGGTTAGGGATGTTGACTACTTTTTACTCAATAACAATTATAAATAGTTTATGATTATTCAATTACTGGTTGAATTAATAAGAGTGTAATTTAACAATTAATAATTTTTTGTTTATGTATTAACAAGGTTGTTTTTCCTATCAATAACTGTTCAAGAACTGGTAATCAAATCAGAATTTAGCAGATTATTACATGATGTCCTTAAAGAAGTTTAAACAGTCATTCCTAAACAGACTACATTTCCCATGAGCACTCACAGCTGGTGTTCTCCGGGCTGAGGACGAGCACTTTGACCTTGGTGGAGTGTGATTTGTCATTGGAGTCAGTGACGGTCAGCTGGAAGATGTAGGTGCCTTGCTGGAGGTCTAAGAGTCTCACCTGGTCAGGTAGATCTGTCTTCTGCTGAATCACATTAAAAAAATCACTTTATATAGACAGCTGTTCAGAAACAAGTCGTTTGAGTGGCAGATGGACAGTTTGATTGAACTTAAAGGAATGTACCCAAGCACTTACCTGCACAGGTAAAACAGTCCTGTTTTATCGTTTTCATACTGTCAGCATCACAGAGTCAGACAAACTCTTAGAGTTCTGAATGGAGTTTGGTTGTACAGATGCATCCCTTTACATTTATTGATTCGGTAATTTGTCTGATTTGTTTTTTCTTTTTTTTCTTTTTAAATCAGACTTCAGCTGACCTTTTATTTTTCTGTGTTAAGCCCTGCCCCCATGACTAAAATGTTTGTACCTCCATCTTGACGCCATCATGTCCACTCAGCTGAGTCCAGCTGTACCGCTCGATTAGGGCATCACCAAGCGCCAGACTCTCGTGGCCATTCAGCGTTACCGTCTGTCCAGGCTGAACGACAACATCACGACCTGCAATGGCGATGGGCGGAGCCTGCTCCCCTGGAGACACACAGAGGTGATGTTTGCAAACAGTGAGATCCTGTGTTTGGATGAATATCAGGAATTAAGTGTTCTAACAGCTTTTCTACTGCAGGAACTTTCTCCAGAAACTTGATACCTTACAAGGAACTGTGTGTGTTTGAGCTGAAGGAACAAGGGTCTAAATGTAGTTCTTGAAAAGTCCCTGTTCAGGGGTTTGTACTTTCCAAAGGCCAAGGAACTGATACATACAGAGGAGAGGAGAGAGACTCTGGATAACATCCTACATAAATCCATCTCAGGTAAAGTGTTTCTGTAAATACATAACTTTAATGCAGTTTCAAGACTACAGTGCTGTGTAAAAAGTAGCACCCGCAATCCGTGTCTAATTTGTATCTGTAGAAAAAGCAGCTTTATAAGGTCTTTCAGTCAAAGACTGAGTAGTGCTGGAAAAGGTTTTTTAACAGACTTGGGCATAGGACATAGTGACATGAGACATTGAGTTTTTGAGCTGCAATCATGCTAAACAACTCGAGTGACCCAGACTGACACAAAGAAGTCTGACAATAACTATAAGAGGAGCCTAATCTGTAAAAACTTTGCCACTTTGAAAGATAAGGATAGTTTGACTTCCGGTTTTACAATAAAAGCATATTCAGGTTTGCTGCCATTGGTACACTCTGTGTGAGAGTCCTGTTTGAAGGCACAGTGTGCAGAGAAGGGACAATCTTCTGAAAAAATTGTAGTCAGATTCCAGATTGAATTGCCCCCTTGCTCACCCCTCTCTTCACTGAAACAACAGTGGCCTCAAAGATCAAAAAGCTCCTCAGATGCCTGATAACTTAGATTTTACCATACAAATGTGTAATACAAATTATTTTACACCCACAACAACAAAAACACATTTTTTGTTACTAGTTTGTCCGCTCTGGGCTACTGTAGAAACATGGCAACCTACTAGGAGAGGACCCCTTGCTTGTATAGATATAAAAGGCTTGTTGTAAGTGAACAAATGCCGAACAATTTCAGAAGTCTTCAGATACTGTATTTTGTTTTTTCATATTATATTTCATAGAGATTAACAAATCTCTTTATCATAGATAAATATAAAATTTGAAGTCTCCAGACGGGCTTTCAGATTCATGTTTATCAGTTAGAAACTAGATTTTGATCATTTTGACCCCACATAATCACACATTATTCCTCTTTGATCACTCTGAGAAGCAGCTTGCTTGTGTTTGCTCATTGAAGACTGTGTTTGAGCAATAAATGTGCAAACTGTGTGCAGAGTGGACAAAGGTGAGTCATCCACTCATTGTGCTAATAACAGTGCTGTGCAACAACACAGGGAGGATTTTATTATGACAAACTAAAGGATGGGAAATCTTTCTATAAAAACCTGTCCCTGCAGCCATGTGACATTATGTTGACATTAAACAGAAAATGTTTATGAAATGATGTGTCTGATTTGATTCTATCATATCCTATGGATTTTTCCTTTATCAAATGACAGCCATAAAACTGTTAAGTGCCTTATCAGTTTGTGTAACATGGACTTTTAACATTTTAAGATGTGGAGCTGATACATTAAGTGACCCAAGTGCAGATTGTAGACCTCTACAGACCCCATCCAAATATGATGAGCATATTTTTTCTGTAACGTTAAAGGGATATTCCGGCATAAAATTAATTTAGGATCAAACACACCCTAACACCGAGTTAGACACCCCCTTCAGAGATGAATGTTGCCGACTCCTTGCTTCTCTAGTTATACCAACTTTTGTAACGACCGCACGATAGCAATACACAGTGGTCTGAGGAACCATAAACAAACCTCAACCAAATAGCCACAAATAGTGCTCAGATCAGCACCTAACTTCATCAACAGTACATATAGGGTCCCAGCCATAACACTAACCAACAAGCATCTTTTTAACTTTGCCTAATCTCTTTAGCAAAGAGACCAAACACAACTCACCTACTCTCTTCCAGCAGCTGCTTGTTTGTAGACCTGGGGCAAGTCCATTATGGACCACAGCGGGGTGTCATAGCTCGAGGAAGAACATTTATGATCATTTTTTAAAATCATTTCCTTGAAGTAATAATCACCATATTAATCGTTTTGCACTACAGAACCGGTAGTTCTTCTGCCTTAGTGTCTCCGTTTGATTGCATTTCTATGAAGTAATAATCATAAATGTTCTTGCTTGAGCTGCCTCACCCCGCAGCAGTCCGTAATGGACCGGCCCCAGGTCTTGCTACTAACAAACATCTGCTGGAAGAGAGTAGGTGAGTTGTGTTTAGTCTCTTTGCTACAGAAATTAGGAAAAGTTAAAAGGATGTTTGATGGCTAGTGCTATGGCTCGGACCCTTTATGTACTGTTGATGATGTTAGGTGCTGTTCTGAGCATTATTGTGGCTATAGAGGGTCTCCAACTCGGTGTTAAGGTGTGTTTGGCCCTAAATTAATTTTCCGCCGGAAGATCCATTTAAGTCCGGGTGTGGACTCACCTGACCCCTGTGGTCCCTGTAGGTGTTTCCGGAACACGGCCAGTCTGATGAAGCTCTGGTACCCGACCTGGTTAACGAATCTGCACACGAAGCGGTTTCTGTGCACGCAGTTGAATGTGACGCATGTGCGGTCTGTCGCTCCGTCCCTGCGCGGCTCCAGCAGCGCCAGGTTGCATCGCGGGTCCTCGCAGCACGCGCGCTCACAGGCCTCCCCGGAGCTGACGGGCGCGGTGGCCAGAAGTACCGCTCCCTCCTTTACCGCGTCCTCCGCGTCCAGCACGAAGTTTTCCTGACCGGGGTGGAACGCGCCGCTGCAGGCCGCGTCATCTGCGTCAGCTCCTGCGGCACGCGCGAGGAGGAGTAGAAGCAGCAGGAGGAGGGAGGAGGGGGAGCAAGCTTGGGACATTTTTACAGTCACTTAAGTTAACAGGAAGAAAGAGTTTACCGCGTCCTCGCGCTCTCACCACTCCGCTCTGACAGTCCCGCGTGCCGACAAAACAAACGGAAGTAGATCTTCAGTTGAGTCGCTGGTAAAAAAAAAAGGGATAACGTTAAAGAAAAATCCGTTGGGGACCGACCCGTGTGTGTGCTGTGTGACTGCCGCTCCTCAGGTGTGTCTCACCTGCTCACAAACAGGAAAAGAGCAAACACGCGCTCCTCTCATTGGCCCTTGCACTGACACGCAGCTGACGTCACTCAGGTGTGGTGACAACAGGAATAGAAAGAGTTTCAATCACCTGTCAGTTACTCACTCCCACTCAGAAACTATCAGTTGATCTATTTTCTCACAGAAGGCGTCAGTCCTCCCCTTAATCACAATTACTCACTCTATTTAGTTAAGCAGTTTTTTTAAATTATCATCTCAACATTGAAACTAATGCTCTTTACTGTACAGATTTTTATTATTTAAGTCAACAGGTTAGCCTATAGAGGAGAGTGGGGTAAGTTGGGCCAGAGGGTAAGTTGAGCCATGGTAAAAGAAATTGATCATGTGACCAAATATTTAGGAGTTGGGCATCAATTCATGGAGTCTGTCAAGGTTAGAAGCACATGGGTGAAGAGGTTAGACATTTATTTACAAAAAAAAAACACTTTTCACTCTTGAAGGTGAATTTAGTCTGTCATAAGTTTTATTAGAATTATGTTCAGACCAAAAAGGATCATTTTAAATTTGTTTTATACATCAACTATGAGCTTCAACATGAGGTCAAACATAAAAGTCCATCATTTTAGCTCAGAGGACTAATAAAGTCATTATAGTAGTTCTGGGGTAAGTTGAGCCATTTGGCCAGGGAAAAGTTGAGTCAGTGTCTTAACTGATAAAGTAAAGGAGTCTGATGAGAGGATCAGAGCTTCAGTTCAGATTGTTGAAATGTGTTACTTTTCCTTTTCAAAAATACAGCTGTGAATGTTCTGAATCACTTAAAGGCATTCTCATGTTAAAATGGCTTTTTACAAAACAGCTTTTCAACAGTTACATGCAATAAAAATGGAATGTATTATTTTACCAGTTGATTAGCTTATAATAGATAAAAATACACATGAATTTGAAGAAGTGACTGTTATTTATGGGGAGAGAGAAGGTGGGGGAGGGCTGGGGTGGAGAGTGTAGGCCGTAGGGATACGGCTCAACTTACCCCGCTCCTATGGTCAATTTACCCCATACACGGGGTAAGTTGACTGTAGGAGACCACATTTTTTTGGCATGCTGTATTATCAAGACAGTTATGTTTACACTCATTCTGTTGGTTTGCATGGATGCACAACATCTTGAAATATATGCAGATACGCTAGTTAGAGACAAAATTATGATTGCCTTAATGTAGTGAGCCAAAATATGAAAAATGGCTCATCTTACCCCACTCTCCCCTACAGAGTATACCAGTTATAAAAATGAGTAATCACAACTGAACTGATGCACACGAAAAGAAATGTGTCAGTGCCCCCTGGAGGCCAGGAGAGGTGGTGTTAGGGGGGTCCTGTGTATTTCCACCTCTGCTGTTTTTATAGATAGCCTACACTGTTATAGACTTTGTTCCCCCAACTCAGAATAAGTCCCATGCCTTCACATTTACATACATTTTAATTTGAATTTGAATACTTAAAAATGCAAAAGTAATCGTCACTATTACAGACTGTGAGAGGAAGCTGAGCCCAGACACACTTCAAGACTCTTTGCCTTAGCTGTTGAACTGCAGTTTTGAGATCTGTCTAGCAGGGGGCGCCGTGTGTTCAATACAGGATTATTGCACTCAGACTATCCAGAATAAATCTGTCCCTGGCTCCTGACATTACTCTGTGAGATTTGAAACATGTCTGAACACGTAAGATGTAAAGAAATTTAGCCTATAATCCATAAAGTCCCTGACTCTTCACTTTGTTGTTGCCACGGGAATAGAAAGAACTGTTACTGATCAACGATATACAGACACAGGATGTTGTTGTCTCTCCTCTCACAGAGGGTTTATTTAACAGGTTTAATCGGTTTGATTTGACTCGATCTGCGGTTTGTGTTGATCCTGTAAACTCAGGTGAGACGAGACGACTGAGAGTAACCTCCTACCTCAGCCTTAGGGGTGAGAGAGGCAAGCCGGAGCCTGCAGAGAGAGAGAGAGAGAGAGAGAGAGAGAGAGAGAGAGAGAGAGAGAGAGAGAGAGGGAGAGATTAAACATTTTATTGCTGCCATTCTTGGTCAGGTCTTCCTTACAAATGAGATCCTCAGGTCTCAATGGGACAAACCTGGTTAAATAAATACATTTTGATTTAGACTGAGTATTTGGGTTAAGATTAAACACATAAAAGTTACCCATACTTTGATAAAGAAACTTTAATTTTTTACACCCCAATTATAAAACATTTTAGAGAAAAATGAGGAAAAGTTTTAATCTTTGTTGACGCCATGATTATAAAATTAAAAGAAAATGTATGAATTCAGATTTCAGTGTTGGTCAAGTTTAGTTTCTGTTTTCATAGGTCTGTTAATTTATCGGTCCTGGTTAAAATGTTAGTTTCTTTACTCTAGTCTTATCTAAAAATTTGGGTCAGAAGCACCTAACCAAAGTAAACTTCACCTCACATCATCACTTATTTAAAAATTTTACCACTTTTATTTCTTCATGTAAGTGCCATTCATACCTTCCTCAAAAATAAAATAGGATAGAATATCACAGTCTCAGAAGGACTAAACTGAGCGAGTCAATAAAGTTTGTTTTAAATTTGATTCAGGAGGTAAAAGCTACAAACTGTCACTCAAACCAAGCTCCGCCTCCTTCCAGGATTTTTTCCTTCATACCTGAGCCCAGGTGAGACAGGGATGAACAGGTGGGGGAGGGGGAGAGAGGGAGTGTGTGTGCAAAGGGGGAGGAGAACCCACAGCAGAAAGAAAGAGGGAGTCGTGTGTCTGAGGAGGAGAACGACAACAAGAACCGGACAGAAGGATCAGACCTGGACTCACCTGGACTCCGCTGGCAAGGTGAGCGCTCAAACACTTTTTTATACCCTGAGGTTTAATGGTTCTCTGAAGATCACTGTGAGCTGTTCGAAGACTGTAAGGTTCCACATAGACCTTTAGAGACCTGGCGGGAACTTTTACAGAGACCTGTTGTAAGAGAGATGTTCTGAGTCCGTGAAGAAGAGTCCAGTTAGTCGGGTTCTCGGGTTAAGATATCACTGAGCACCAGCACGATGGTGTCTGCAGTGTAAACAAATATCACCTAGAGGCTCTGGTGCTGAAGGTTCTTTACGTTCTCAGACTGTAGAGACTGAAAAACACCATAAACACAGATGGAATCATCAGTTTAAGAAGATGTCTGAAGTCTGTAAAAAGATTCTGCAGGGGTCCAGAACTGGTTCTTTTTGCATGTTTGGTTGCTGCTGATGTTATTTTACTCTTTATATCCTTTTTATTGTAACTGTTTGTAGCCCAAGTGGCACCCGGAAACATTCTGGATTTGGTCGCTGAAAAAGTGTTCTTGAGGCCTTTATATGAAATGTTCTGACTCAGTGAGGAACCTTTTATCAGCAGGATCAGTCTTAGTCTGAAACACAATGAAACAAACTTTTCTCAGAGTTTGTTGTATTTCTGAAAAGGTTCCAGAGAGAAGCAGTTCTTTTGGATTTCTTGTTTAACAGAAGTACTAATTATAATGAGCCTTCTCTTTATTGCTGATTTGAACCTTGGTCTTTCTTAGAATCATTCTTTAATGAACTTCTACAAAGATCTGACAAAACCATTAGATTAGACAAACTGCAGTGAGTACACTAAGGTTCCCCGTGGCTCCAAAATAAGGTCCCTGGGGCTATAAAAGCAGCATGGAGATTTCCAAGACCCACTCAGGTCCCATCCCTCAGAATAGGAACACACAGTAAGTTATTGCAGAAACAGGTCTGAGCTCTGAGGAACCCTGTGATAAAGAGTACCTAGATTCCCAGTGATGAAGAACATTGACTTGGCTTTAGGAATGGTCTCTGGACTTTCTCCTCAGCACCAGGAGTTGTACTTAGATCTGAGCTCCAAAGACCCTACTCTGCTTATTCTTTAGTTAAACTAAAACATTATGCCAGTCAACATCAAAGATCAACCTTAGTCTGAGTTTGATACGACAAACTAACCTTAAACTTATTTAATTTTTGTTAAGAGGAGTAGAGTAACTCTAGGCCAAAGTTTGGTCAGGTTAGGTTAGGTCAAGTTCAGTTAAATCTAGTCAAGTTAAAGCTAATGAATCAAGTCAAGTTAGGTTAAGTTTGGTCTAGTTAAGCCAATTTAAGTAACGTTTAGTAAGGTTAGGTGTAGTCAAGTTATACTGAGTAAAATTAAGTTAAGTGAGGTTAAGTGTAGTTTAGGGAAGTAAAGTTGAATTTATTTAGGGTAGGTTAGGTTAAGTCCAGTCAAACTGATCAAGAAAAGTTTTATTAAGTAAAGATCAGTTGAGTTAAGATGAGTTACAAACTTCTAGCTCATCATTAAATTTACTTGAGTATGTGTTAAGTTTCATTACATTTAATCAAGTAAAATTAGATTAAGTTAGTATTAGCTAAGTGAGGATGTTAAGTCGAGCCAAGTTATGTGGGGGTCCCAATTCAGTTATTTTGAACTGAAATTAGTTCAGTCAAGTAAAGTGAGGTTAAACAGTGTAACCTTGACCAAAGCACATTTAGTTAAATTAAACTAAGTTAAATTGACTTTAGTTTATCATAGTTAAGTTATCATCTGTTGGTAAAATCAGGTCAGGAAAGGACAGGTTAATTTCAGCCTTCAAAGTCTGTTTTGATGGAGTTCAGCATAGTGTGAGTCAAGGTCAGCCTAATTAGGTTATGTTATCTAGGTTTACCATCGTAAAATTAAAAGAGTTAATCAGAGCCATATTTAGCTTGGCTTTCTTTCTATCAATTTTAGTTAAGCTTTTAAATAATAGTGAAGTTAAAATCTCTTGAGTTTGATTTGACTCTTGGTTTATTTCATTTAGATTAGTTTAGTTTCGTATGCCGCCATTTAGTTTGGTTTAATCTCATCTAGTTTTGAGTGTATTGAGAGTTGTTGAACTGTATGAGGAGTGTGTCTTCTGTGTAAAGGTGAGCTCTGTGTTTATGGGTCATGTGTGTGTGTCTCAGTAAGCTGATCTGAATGAATGGTTTGTTATGAAAGTGTAACTGATCAGTTTGTTGTCGCTCTGCAGGATTGTTGTCTCAGGTCAGCTGATCAGTGTTGTGAAGTTTGAAACATTCATTAGTCCCTTTGACTTCCTCTTTTTTTAGTTTGGACTTTATTATTGATCCCTTCTTATACTGAAGCTCCTCCACCTGTTCAATTTGCATTGATTTTGGTGGAGGAAACTCTACTGAAGACCATAAATCATAACCATAACAATTAATAAATTATAATAAGTAAAGACAAAGATGTGAAAAGGTTTGTGAAAAAGTCTCAATAAAACAAAAAAAAGGAACAGGAACAATTTAAAACTGGTGATGATGCAAACAGACATGAAAGAGTGTATCACAGTATCACTGTGGTCAACCAATCAGAGTCTGAGCTGCTGGTGATTCACTGATTGACCAGACGAAGGTTTTAACACACACTGACTCATTAATCTCAGCTGCTCTTCTTCCTCAGAGGAAGGTCAGAGGACGTCCATGTAAAATAAGTTTCACCGCATCGCCCCATGATCAGACTCGTCCCATTAAACATCTGCACACATGACCACTGACATGCTCTCTGTGAGTGTGTTGGCAGCGTTTGGTACAGCGATGCATTCACTGACTCAGAGTGAGTGTGTTGTTTTAGTCAGACTGAGGAGCTGTCTGGTCATGTAGTGTGTCGGTTTGATTCCTCAGGTATGTCAGTCACACCCAAATCACACGCACACACACACGTACACACACACACACACACACACACACACACACACACACACACACACACACACACACACACACACACACACACACATACATATACATATACATTCAGTGTGACTGTAGTAATAGGAAAAGTTGAATCCCCCAGTGATGTTACTGAAAACGCTCTTTCGTAGTGACCTGTATGGGAAGTTAAACTGTTTAAAAAGTGGTACGGTAAATGTTAGACTTACAGAAATCTTCATGTAGCTGGCATGACACCACTTCTCGGTGTGCTGAATGACTCCTAAGCTCTGACTTTGACGTTTCCCAGCATATGTTGGAACTTGACCTCGTTTGGATGAGAGGGTGACGCTGGAGAAGAGAAAGGCTAGACTTAACAGTCCAAACCCAGACTATCATGAATGAATCTGACAAACTAAGGGAGCTAACAGTCCAGGAAGGATGAACACAGACAAAGACAGATGCTAATATTTAAAAAAAATGGCGTCTCAGATGGGCTATTAGTCCAACAATTTGTCTGATATTTACACAAACAAATGTCTAAGAGGATCCCTAACACACCTCAAACAAAACCCAGACAGTTAGCACCCCCAGCTGTTAGTCAAAGAGGCACTGCCCCCTTTCACACACAACATTATCCTTAAAATACAGTGAACAAGTAATTTCCATAAAGATTCAGCTTGTATAGATGTCAGGCATAATGAAATGTTTTTTGCTCCAGGCTGTTAACATTGTTTGAAGTTGGACTTACCAGGAGGTTCAGCACTCTGTGAGAGACTGCAAAAGCTAATTGTTTAACAGTTTAAGAATAAAGTTCCTTCAGTGTGCAAAAATTTCATCATCTACAGTACATAATATCACTAAAAGATTGAGAGAATCTGGAAAAATCTCCGTACAAAAGGGACAAGGACCAAAACCAAGACTGGACGGTCCTGATCTTCAGGCCCTCAGGCAGCACTGCATTAAAAACAGACAGGACTCTGGAGTAGAAATCACTGCATGGATTCAAAATCACTTCAAAAACCATAACCACTAAGAAGGCCTGAGGTTAAGTGGACACCTTTACCCTAGTCTGATAAATCAGTTTGACATTCTTTTTGGAAATCATGGAGACCACATCCTGCACAAAGAGACCACTTTGCCAGCAACCCTGATGGGTTGGGGATCATCAGAGTCCATGTCAGGGGTACCTTCCACATCTGTGAAGGCTCTATTAATATATCAATATCTATAGCAATATCTACAGGTTTAGGAGTAACATCTGTTCTGGGACGACCTTCGTATTTCAGCAAGACAATGACAAACCACCTAATGCAGGGATTACAACAGCATGGCTCCATAGTGGAAGAGTCCTGCTGCTAATGTAGTCTGCCTGCAGTCCTGACTTGTGCTCCATTGAAAACATTTGGAGCATCATGACACCAAAACTAGGACAAAGAGGACCCTGATCTGTTGGGAAATCCTGAGATTCTCATTGTCAGACAACAATGGGATGACATTTCACTGTCGAAACTCCAGAAACAGGTCTCCTCGGTTTCCAAACAGAGTTTTGATGAAAGAAGAATCAACATTTTTAACAATGTCAAAACTGTTTCATAATTGAAACAATGCTCTGATGAAGTTTGAGTGATTGTTTTAAAATCTTCATTTATTTTAAACTACGTTCAGAACAAAATGTGTTCTGTCCAGTGTTTTTGAAACTGACGGCTCACTGCAAAGACGGTGGATCCTGTTTGTTTTTTATCTGGCATGTTAATACAATCACATGAGGGCAAGATAAGGTCTGCAACATTTTAGACAGCACCTGCTATCAGGTAACCCCCTCCTGTCCTCCTCTGACTGACCGGATCTGAGCACCAACATCCTCCACCACTCCTACTTCACAAACAGGAGAGAGGGAAAGAGAAGGAGAGAAGGAAAGGAGGAGGAGTCTTTGTGCTTCATGATCTGTGTCTCCTTGCAGGCTGACCTGGATTGTTGTGAGTCAGGACTTTACCTGGTTTACCTGTGGGCGAGAGACAAAGACTCACACAGGTGAGAGAGCTCTGTGTTGGCCGAGGACTTTCAAAATAAAACACCCTAAAAATATAAAGTGCCCCTGCAATTAAAACAAAGGTTAATGGAGATATTTTTTGCAGATTAAATGATTAGAAATAATCTAAATAACTAGAACATTTCTCAAAAAATTCAATAACTTATAAATAAAAGGTTTAAAATATTTAGTCCCAGCAGGTAAATATGTAAGAGCCAATCAGAATCTGTCAAATTCAAACAGTACAGTTTGATCTGATTGGATGTTACCTGATCATCGTGTTCATTATCAAGGGTATCTTATTATCCCCGAGGGGCACTTTGCTTCACAGCCAGCAGTATACACACAGTTCCCACAACGGTTTAGACACATGCAAAAACAAATCATTAATTGAGCTGTGAGATGTCAGTGCTGCTGTGAGTCCTGCCCAGGTGAGCTCTCACCTGGGCTGTTCGGTCGGTTTGTGTCTGACAGCAGAGAGAAGGGAGGAGGAGGTCATGTGACTCTGCCTAGGTAAAACACCTGAGATCAGGAAGAGGAGCTGTCGGTGAGAAGACAACTCTAGAGTGTGTGTTTAGTGTGTCTGTGAGTTAGTTTAGTGTGTGTGGGCTTATTTAAAGTGTGTGTATTGCTGTTTGATACGTGTTGAGTGTGTTTAAGGTGTGTGTGTTTACATGACTGGACCTCCCACCATGCCGCCGTCCAATCAGTACTCTTCCAGCCTTGAGCAAACTGCCTCCTGTTGCTTCCCCCAGGTCTCAGCATCATTTGGTGGTCCTAGCTGCGTTGCCGTGGCGATGTTCGGCCACAAGAAGAAAAGGCGCAGGCCGCAGATCTCGGCGCCGCAGGACTTTCAACATCGCGTCCACACGTCGTTTGATATGGTGACGGGACGCTACGTGGGTCTGCCGCCGCAGTGGCAGAGCGTCATTGACACTCTGAGGAGGCCACGCCCCTTGGTGGACCCTTCGAGGGTAACAGAGGTTGAGCTTAAGAAGGTAAGGGGGAGGGCTAATATTTTTTTATATTCTCTTTAACAAAAAAACATCAAAATAATATGATGACATCAAAAAGCCTGATTGGTTGATGGTCTAAGTGATCAGTTGATCACACAGGTTGAGTCTGTGAGGATGTTTTAGAGTGATGGTAGATCATGAGGCTGGGGTAAAGTGTCTTGCCAGAAGTACCCCTGACTCTCTGATTGGACCTCGAGCTCTACCTCTGAGCCACAGCCCTTGCTAATGTGCTGAAATTCCCTAAACTTCTAAAATGGTTTCCGTATGTCACCAAATTACTCTTTCATATTTTCGCTCTCTAGAAACCAGTACACAATTAAACTAGGCTTTAGTCAGCCCTCTATTTAAAGCAGATGACCCATCCTTGTTTTCTAATTATAGACAAACATCTGTTCTTCTTTGTTTCTCAAAAGTCTTAGTAAAACATGTCTATAATCTTTTGCTGGAGTATTTAAAGAAGAAGTAAACCTTCAGTAACAACGGACCCTTTCCTCTTAGTTTGAACTCTGCTGATGTGGAGCTGACCTCTGACCTCTGTCACATTGACCTCTGTGTTTACAGAGGCCGCTGAGGTTTACTGTTTGTCTGAAGTTCAGCTGAAGTTTCCACACAGGACTCAGACAAGGAGGACATGTTTTAAAAGTCGAAGCAGATCTAAAAAGTCATTAGTGAGCATCAGTGAACCAGGTTTAAATAAAATCTGATTAATAAGATGCACTTATGATACCTTCCTTTAAAAAGTGAGCTTAATATGAGAGGTATTTTATTACTGGTAAACAGGGTTCTCCATGCACAGGGGGATAACATACACAGGTGATGGGATACAACAATCAAAACATAAATGGCTGCACACTTATACCTACAAATAAAAACATGCAAAAGCCTTGATTGTACTTTAGGAACCCGACAAAGTTATAGAAATATATTATAGTTATGATGATTCACCCAGAGGATGAATAGTGAAGTGGTAAACAACCACTTGACAACTGAACCATGTTGAAAAGTGCTTCTTAGTAACATTTTCCACCCCCATATTCAGTCAGAGAAAACAGACTTATACTATTTAGTAAATAATTTTGTATATTATAGTATAGTGAATGGAAATCAGCATCTGGAGAAGGTATAAGTCTTAGCAAATAGGTCACATGTGGTGGGTTTGTCCTTCATCACACAGGTAGTTGGAGGGATGGCCACAGTTTCTATAATGATCTCCACAGTCACACAGAAACTGAACATCAGGGACTGTATTACCATAAAAACATGATTTAAACCCTTTTTAATCCCCTAAAAAATGACCATGTCTTACTTCCAAGAGTAACTTTGTCTATTATATTATATAATTTGTTGTCTATGTCTTTCTAGTATTCATTATTAATACAGTTTCAACCACAACACATTTATTCCATGAGTCAAAATCCTGTAGCTCATTTTTTAATGCATCACAGTTTAAACTTTACAAACTGACTTCCCCTTCATATCAGAAATTTGAGACTACAGATCAAATTAACTCTTGTTTTTATTCATTATCTCTCAATCTCTGATTTTCTAACGTTTCTCTCTGTAGAAAATCGTACGGGGCAGCTTCATTGGTCATGAGGACTACATTTCCCACGTCATCTCTGAGATGACACGTCTGTCCGTCTCCAGCTCCAACTCTCTGCGCCGCAGCAGCCCATCGGCACGGAAACGGGCTCGCTCTCTGGGGCGCCTGGGAGAGCTGGCAGAGACTGAGCCGTATCAGTATGAAGAGCTCAATCACCACAGTGATGATGTGAAGACAGGTAGGAGTGCCACCTACTGGCAGGACCGGATAAGACAGGTACGCAGCGAGAGCGGTAGCCCCAAACTGAACGGAACTCTGCAGAGGGCCAAGTCCACCTGTGAGGTGGCAACTGAGGCCATGCCCCCTACACCTGTGAATCCTCAGAGGACAGGTGGGACAGTAAAAACAGGTGGACAGTATGCTCGTAGTGAAGGGGCAGCACTAAAAAAGAGGCCGACTTCCTTCCATAACAACATCCAGACTGCAGAGGCGAGGAACAGAGCTTACCTGAGACAGAAAGCAGCTGCCAACTACCTGCCTGACCTGCTGAGCACCTCCAGAGAAACTGCCAGGAGACCTCACTCCACCTATGACCTCAAGGTGAGAATCAGAACTACAGGGATAAGCAGAACCAGACCAAGAGCAAGAGCCAGAGCCAGGGTTACATATCAGTAATCTGTCTTCATGCCAAGCAGACATCTAATGAAGGATAAAAGTCCCACTATCAAAACTTTTAAACATTATTCAGGGAAATAATCTCAGTATTTGTTTATCTTGATGGTGTAGTTAAAGCTATAGTTGGTGAAGTAAGTTTCTGTTTCTTTGTCTCCATCTGGTGGTCCCAAACTTTGCCCTTTCTTTGAGATTCCTACAAAATCCTGCTCCCTTAAGAAAAGGTGTAATATGATGTTCTTGTCCCCCCTTCCCCAGATGACCTCCCCCTCCTCCCCTTTCCTGCTGCCCCCACCAAACAGCACCAGCAGTCCTCTGGTCACCGGTCGTGGTTTACCTCGCCGCACACTACGCCCCTCCTCCAGCTTCAATATTGGAGCTAACCCAAGACTACAGACCCCCCCAGTCCAGGACTTCACCTCTCAACGCCGCCCCTCCCCCACAGGCTCCCCAGGTTGTCCCCCCTCCTCCAACCTCTGCCCTTCCTCCACCCAACAAACAGTGACTGATGGAAGTGGAAAGGTAACTCATGAGCAGTTTAAGGCGGCGCTGCAGATGGTGGTGGACCCAGGTGACCCGAGGACGACTCTGGAGAACTTTGTGAAGATCGGGGAGGGGTCGACAGGTGTGGTGTGCATCGCCAGGGAGCGACACAGCGGGCGGCAGGTGGCAGTGAAGATGATGGACCTGAGGAAGCAGCAGCGCAGGGAGCTGCTCTTCAATGAGGTACACACTACCAAGAGTACTTTTATTCAGAAGTCTTTAATCATAATTACCCAAAATCTGAAAGTCTGGACAGAGTTTGATAGTTTCAAATTTATTTAAAGCTTTTAGTTAAAAACAGTTCCGGCAACTCTGTTTCAAAAAAGTCTGGACTGTGACAACACAAAACTCAAAAGGCTTCCAGTGATTCACAAAATATCACCAACATTTTTACATAACTTAACAGCTTTCATAGGATTAAGGTTGTACATACCTGAACATACCTTTCCCTGTGTGTCTCAGGTGGTTATCATGAGGGACTACCGGCATCAGAATGTGGTGGAGATGTTCCGCAGCGCTCTGGTGGAGGAAGAGCTCTGGGTCATCATGGAGTACCTGCAGGGCGGCGCTCTTACACATATCGTCAGTGAGACCAGGTGAGTGGCAGTAACAGACCCCTGTATGTATTTTGTATGTCTGTTTTTAGATATCATAGTTTTAAACAGTGTGTGAATGTCTGTGTGTGTTCAGGCTGAATGAGGAGCAGACAGCGACAGTGTGTGAAGGCGTCCTGCAGGCGTTATCTTACCTTCACGCTCAGGGAGTTATCCACAGAGACATCAAGAGTGACTCCATCCTGCTGACACTGGACGGAAGGGTAAAACACATACACAGTCATTATGAGTATTCACCTAATTTCAAATACAGTCTGTTTTGACCAAGCAGTAAACATCAGGACTTAAAAATTAACATTTAAATCCCAAAAACCGCAGTTCCATAAGTGTCCACTAGAGGCTGTCTTTGAAAGTGAGTCGGTCCCCATAGAGTCCCATGCAAAAATCAGTCTCCAATTTCTTGTTTGGTTCAGAGCAGTTTGGTGCAGTTCTCCAGGGTTGATACGATTAATCCTGATCTTAATTTTGTTGCGTTTCCACAGCAGATTGTAGCCAACGCTGGTGCGCCACGCAGAAAGCATGTTGGCTGCATGATGTTTTGCAACAGATTAGAATACAAATAACTGCAAGTGTTATTGCTCGACCCAGATGATTTATCACTGTAAGAAACAGTGGTACAGTGATATTTAAATATCAAGTTGATGTTATTAAGAGACATGCCAATCATAAGAGTCTGTTTGTATTGCTGAGCAAAGCTGAAACTAAGCTACGCCCTGAAAACAAACCAACAGAGTAAACAGTCCTGTCTTTTACTGATTAACTCTAAATAAGCTTACCCCAGTTGGTTTAGTTTGATGGTTTAACACAGAGCATCTCAGACACTTACAGTCTGGTTAATGTGTAGTTTAATGTTTGTCCATCGAGAAAGTAAAGTTTTGTGTCTCTCTTTAATGAGTGAGAACAATTTTGAGGAAGTTATGAGTTACTGTCGGTTAAAGTACCGCATCAGTGAAGTTATTCACTGCTGAATCCATTGTTAGATTGCTGGTATCAGGTTATTTGTAACATTTCATTACAGAACCTGTCCCTTTTGGTGTGTTTAAACCCATGTATAACTTAGCCTTAGCATGTAAGCAAGCAGGGCCAATGCATGCAGCTTGTAATGCTATGCTCTACTTTTGTCTTCTTCTTCCCTCCTGCAGATCAAACTTTCAGACTTTGGGTTCTGTGCTCAGATCAGTAAAGACGTCCCAAAGAGGAAGTCTCTGGTGGGGACTCCGTACTGGATGGCTCCTGAAGTAATTGCTAAAAGACCGTACGGGACCGAGGTAGGAAAAACAATAAATAATCATACTGTAAAGGCAGGATATGAAACATGGTCACAGAAGGAGGTTCAGTTTAAAGACTCCTGATTTCACTAAAACTTGGTTACAAATCTAAAAATCTGATCTCAGCTTTGATTTTGGCTAGGAAGTGTCCCAAAGGGTTGTTAGTGGTAGAAGGTTGTGTATCACCACCAACATTTTAGCATCTATTAATCTAGCCCTATAAAAAGAACAGTCTTGGACAGATGCAAGCTGGACTGATACGTTTACCTGCTTCCTGTGCCCCTCCAGGTGGACATCTGGTCCCTGGGTATCATGGTGGTGGAGATGGTGGATGGAGAGCCACCCTACTTCAGTGACACACCAATCAACGCCATGAAGAAGCTGAGAGACGAGACAGCGCCGAGCGTAAAGAACATCCACAGGGTCAGACCAAACACACTCAAGCACACCTGCTTCACTTACACACACTTCCTTGTCTTTTGTCAAAGTGAGGACACACAGCCAAAACATGCATTATGGGGACCACCATAAAGAGCTGTAAAATAATGCCAACTTTTTCACTCTGAGTAGCACCTGAGGTCCACCTGCTTGCCTGAGGCTCTCTGTAACATTAGCCTCTGTCTCTATGAGGATTTGTTTGTAGTGCTTTTCTTAAGAACGGCCATGATGAGAATTTACAGTGTATGTGTTTGCTAACCTTCCAAATTCTTCATTGTCAACCACAGAGAATGTCTGTGGGTCTTCAGCTGTATAGTCAAAGATACATCTTGAGTTTTCACAATGTTCTGGGGATGTAAGGCTGTACACTCTTCTATTAGGCTCCTTTAGACAAAGTTATTTTCTCTGTCCAGGTGTCTCCAGTATTGAAGGACTTCCTGAGCTGCATGTTAACCCGAGACACACAGCAACGATCCAGCGCCACAGACCTGCTGGAGCACCCGTTTCTGCTGCAGGCTGGCTCACCTCACTGCCTGGTTCCACTGGTAGAGCAGCACCGCAAACGCATGTCCCTCTGCTGAATACCTGAGACAGAACCCAGCAAACACCAGAGACAAATCTGAGTCACAACTGAAACCATCTCCCAATGAACTGGGACTCACCTGGTATTAAATACCTGAGACTGTCCTAGACCTCTGTGGGACTCACATATAATGTCTAAGACCCACACTGGCGCTACCATTGGGACCTGGAAGTCACCAAGGACTCGTCTATGACTCCAGAGACTCACCTGGCTCTTAAGACTAATCTGGAACCTGAGACTTACAGACTCAGTTAAAAATACCCAAGACTTACCCGGGACATACGAAACCTACCTAAGACTCGCAGAAGGCATACCAAAGGCAGACCTTAGGCTCACTTGAGACACAATGACGACATCTGTAATTTACCTTTGACTCACCTATAACACCTAAAACTAGTTTAGGACACATTAACCTCACTTAGGACTCCCCCCAAACACAAAGAACCCTTCTAATACTCACTGAGATCCTCAAGAGTAGCTTGGGTTGCATGAGACCCGCCTGGGACTAACCTAAAAAACCTCAGGTTTATCTAGACTCCTGGGCCTCACCCCAGACATACCTAAGTAAAACTCCATTGGAGTTACAGAAAGCATACACAAATGTCACCTTAGACTCACCTTTACCACCCAAGACACACACATGGATTTACCGAAAACACCTGAGACTTATCACCTAATTTACCAGATATGTATGAGACACCCTTGGGATTCACCCCAAACACCTGAGACTTATCACCTGATTTACCAAAGACATATATGAGACACCCTTGGGATTCACCCCAAACACCTGAGACTTACCTTGGAAACACTAGAAACACCTGATGACAACATGAGACCGTCTGGAGAAAATGTGGGACTCATCGAAATCACATGGGACTCACCTGAAACCACTATGACTCCCAAGAACACTCATGATTTGTGGGTGTAACTGTGGGTTGTGAACTTTTAACTTCAGCATCAGAAGAGGGTTCAGAGTCACCTGTAAATGCACTTTTCAACGGAAGAGACTTTATACAAGTGCTCCGGGTTTTACTTTGACAGTCTAGGGGATCATTTCCTGTTTCTGAACTCTATGTGAACCAAACAAACAGATCAACCTGCCAAACCTTGATGCTGCTACCTGCTGACCTTTGACTTCCTAAAATGGTTAATTTCAGTATTTAACATTTCAGGTTTTCCTGTATTTCAGAGCAGGTAAAGATGATCTTTTTCTGTTAAAGAATAATGAAAATACTTTCCTTTTTTATTCAAACAAAGAACATTTCAGTTACAAATGGCTGCAAGTTATTCAAACTAAAAAGACACTAACAAAGTAAAACTGTAATCGTCAGCATAGAAAGTTATTTCCAGAATATTCCTGTTTCTGTTGTTTCAAGTCAGAATTAGCTAAAGTGCCATTTCAGAGCAAACTCATTTCAAATCAAAGGATCAGAAATTGACAGTGGTTCCTGGTATAAAGATCCTTTTAACAAAATAGTGTGTGGAGTGTTTTTACAATAAAGACATTAGTTTTTACTCACGTCCATAGGGTCCAAAATGGAGGACACTGTTGTAAGCTAACATCTAGTTAGTATCACAGCAGACTGATAACAAACTGTGCACACTTGGCTATCTGCTACCAGCTAAGCTAACCTGTCCATCTGTTCATTTACTTCTTTATCTAATCAGGTTACAAACTGTCCTGAGAGCTAAATGTAAGCAGAGTTTATAAAAAGAGCCTGAAACGTTGTGATTGAGAAGTGCTTGCATGCTTCAATGGAATTAGTTACTGTGGTTTGTAACAGTGGAGTTTTGACCCTCCAGACAACTTTTTATGTCCATGTTATTTCTGTTTTAATAATATTCCATTTCTTCCACATGATGACCCTGTATTGATGATAAAACAGCTCTTTGTTTCCTGTGGGTTTGACTTTCAAACTATAGAGGATTAACTCTGAAAACTTGCACAGTTTTAAACAGAATGTGACTTTGCACATATTAGTAAGATATTTTTTATATTATGTGACTTTTTTACAAAAATGGCTTATGTAAATAAATATGATAATAGTACTCACAGTTGGTTTGTGTTATTTCTTTTGAAGGAGCCTGCTGCAAGAATTAGTTTTGGTAAAGATAGTAAAAATGGCTGGTGGGTGTATTTCTGTAAACTTAACACTGAGGTAAATATAATTAAAGTAAAATAAATTAACTTACTGTAACCCTGCAAAAAAGTGCTTAAATAGCAGACAAATGCATTTTTCATAAATATAATTATATTAATGTTCTTGACTCTTTCTAATGACTTTACATACTGCTGCTAATTTAAACTGTCATGGTAATCTATTTCAAATAAATGTATGTGAATCTTTAAAGTAACTTTGGAGTTAAAATCATTGTATCAAATATAATTAGTGGTAACTATTTGTATGTATATCTAATTACGCAACAAGCAATATTTGGCAGTAACTTGTTTATTCTGTTTCTTATTTGATGAACTGATAGTGTTTTAATGTAAAAGCTGTTCTGGTAAGTTAAGAGGAATATTCTCAGTGTTTTAAAATGTCATAAGCGGTACAGTGTCCAAACATTATTATGAGGCAGATTTAAGCCACTTCTGTCAATATCTAAACATAAATCTGTTTTCGTCCTCTGAAACATGACCCTGGATATGTCAGGCACTGAGAGAAAGCTAAACTCAATATACTGGTGACTTTCTGTGATTAAAAAAGGTCTGATTTAAGCAAAATAAAAAAAGAGATATTTTTAGCAACCTTTTGAAAAAGAGGATCAACACCTAAATCCCCCCATGAGTTCATGGAGTTTTAATCTGTTTGCAAATAAAAACACTGACTTGCGTTTTTCCACGATAATTTGGGAAATGTCATCTCCCAGCACTTGATCTCCTTTCTCAGAAACGTTTGTTGCTCCATCAGGTCTGATCCCCCTCTGTGTCAGGAGGTTTAAAGCTGCTGCGGTCTGAAATACCCTCCACATATGTCTGTGTGACAGAGATAAACTCTGATTGTTTCTATCTGGTTTCTATTTGGAGGCTGAGAGCTGATGAGTCCAGACTGTCCCAGATAAAGAGACACATACTCTTCAGATCGTCACTTACACTCTTTCTATCTGACGCTCAGAGTCACATACAAACCTCAGACTGTGGAAGATTCCCTGTGTCTGCTGCTCCAGTATGTGCACAGCTTTAGATTTATAAAGGAGAGTTTAGGGCCAGTACTGCGTGTGGAGATAAAAGTACAGTGATGGTACTCCTTTTGTTCACTGTTTGTTGTTTATATTGAGCAGTATCAGTTAATGTTAGTATAAAGTTTTAAATTTAGTAAGAGGAGCTGCAGCAGAGTGTGAGTCTTGTGAAGATACAGGAGATGCTGATGGAGTCTAAATGGAGAGGTGTCAGAAGGCCATATCAGCGGGCAGCAGATAAGCAGTAAAAATCCGCTCCTCCAAAATTGGAATCTAACAGCCAAAGGTCCTGCATTTGCCCCCATGATGCTTTTACACCCCACACATGATTAAGTGTCTGTTTTTTTACCTTCAGCAGTTATCTCCTAATTTGGTCCTCAGGGAGTTCTTATAAGGACCCTCCCGCTGTGAGGAGTCTGCAGTCCAGCGTCACATTCATCGGAGACCTGACTCTCCTCAGACTGATCCCTCTGCTGCCTGTAGAAAACTTCAACCCTATACCATGGGTGACGCTCTGATGGCCGAGTTTGGGAAGGCGGCTCCTTTCCTGAGGAAGTCCGACAAGGAGCGTCTGGAGGCTCAGACCAGAGCTTTTGACATCAAGACAGAATGCTTTGTGGTGGACGATAAGGTTGAATATATGAAGGGACAAATCCAAAGCAAAGATGGAGGGATGGTGACGGTCAAGAAGGAAGATGGAACAACGGTAACCGTGAAGGAGGCTGATGTCCACCCCCAGAATCCGCCAAAATTCGATAAAATTGAAGACATGGCAATGTTCACTTTCCTCCATGAGCCTGCCGTGCTGTTTAACCTCAAAGAGCGTTACGCAGCATGGATGATCTACACCTACTCTGGGCTCTTCTGTGTCACCGTCAACCCCTATAAGTGGCTTCCTGTCTATGATGCTGAAGTGGTGGCAGCTTACAGGGGGAAGAAGAGGAGTGAGGCCCCTCCTCACATCTTTTCCATCTCTGATAACGCCTACCAGTACATGCTGACTGATCGGGAGAACCAGTCTGTCCTAATCACTGGAGAATCTGGCGCAGGGAAGACTGTGAACACCAAGAGAGTCATCCAGTACTTTGCCAGCATCGCTGCTGTTGCTGGTGCCAAAAGAGACGCCAGCAAGGGGACCCTGGAGGATCAAATCATCCAGGCCAACCCTGCATTGGAAGCCTTTGGCAATGCCAAAACATTAAGAAATGATAACTCATCCCGTTTTGGGAAATTTATCCGAATTCACTTTGGTACAAGTGGCAAGCTGTCATCTGCTGACATTGAGACGTACTTGCTGGAGAAGTCACGTGTCACCTTTCAGCTCAAGGCTGAGAGGAACTACCACATCTTCTACCAAATCCTGTCCAATCAGAAGCCAGAGCTGCTGGACATGCTGCTGATCACCAATAACCCATATGACTACTCCTACATCTCCCAAGGAGAGGTTTCAGTTGCCTCAATCAATGACTCTGAGGAGTTGATGGCCACTGACAGTGCCTTTGATGTGCTTGGCTTCACTGCAGAGGAGAAGATGGGGGTCTACAAACTGACCGGTGCCATCATGCATTATGGAAACATGAGGTTCAAACAGAAGCAGCGTGAGGAGCAGGCTGAACCTGATGGAACAGAGGCTGCAGATAAATCAGCTTACCTGATGGGGTTGAACTCTGCTGATCTTATCAAAGGGCTGTGCCACCCGAGAGTCAAGGTGGGGAATGAGTACGTCACCAAAGGACAAAGTGTGGACCAAGTCTACTACTCCCTTGGTGCTCTGGCTAAGTCAGTGTACGAGAAGATGTTTAACTGGATGGTGGTGAG